TCCTCAATCTATTTATAATAAAGTTGTGTTGTTAATATTTTCGTGGTGGAGGAAAAAGAAGACTGTCATTTGATTTTGCGGTATTTACTGTGGTTTCCGATAAGAATTTTTGGGCCGCCAAGACTTTGGTGTGCCGCATTTGAGTACGATTGGACTCAGACGATGATCACCGTGGCATAGATTTACATTTAAAGTGTAGTGTGCGTAAGAATATTTAAAGTTAATATATAATAAAACAAATTTGGTAACGAGATTGTGAATTGCTTCTAGAAACGGAGATATTCTCAATCCTACCAATTAGAAAACGTAAGATGAATAAAATACGATAAACGGATAGGGGTGGTTAATGGTAACGGAACCCTTGAAGGGTAAAAAACGTTTTGTTTATATATCTGACAGCTCACCATTATAATGCGAACATCTGTCGTGACTTAACATTCTAGTTAATACGTGGCCAATGCCAACCAATGAGCATAGTACGGCCAACTGTGACGTAAATAGTATTAAGATAGATTGTACTTAAATATGTTAACTAAATTTTAACTTTGTAAAAATCAAGTAATGGGCTCACCCTATTACAGTAGCAGTTTCTTTCATTCATGTTTTGTATACTTAAGGCCATTATCGAAGCCTTAATTAACTGCTTGCGATAAATTTTGTCAGCAAAAACTGTAGCCGAAGGACGACAGCCAATTTTTTGCAGAAAGAGTAATTTAAAGGACCCACTAAAAAGTTGCAACTGGGGGCAGCACAACAACGAAGTACGACTTAAGTGGGCTACTCTATGGCCTATATCGCTCATCAAACTTGACAAAGAGTGCTGCATTCGAGCCTCATTCACATTGAGTGTACTGTTATTGAACTTATAATAAAAATGACAAGATATTATGAAACTTTTGTTGATGTGCGCTTTAACCTAGTGCTGGTCCTGTCAGGTAACGACATTGTACCTTATTGAGTGTGTGTCTCGGGATGGTAAGATTAAAGCGAGCGCCAGGGGTACCAGAGACTTGATAGCGATCTTCCTAGGACCAAATTTATGACTGTATCATAAATTTGCTACTGGGGAGATCGCTATCAATCATAAAGCAAAAACAAAGTGAACACGTCAATAATTGTACCCTGCATACCGGAGATCAAAGCCGTGCGCTTTCGATTGACGACGATCTTTTCTGGACACGCTTTGAAGGCTCCGGGTATATGCACAAGTCTCCGGTACCTCTGGCGCTCGCTTTAATCTTACCATCCCGAGACATACACTCAATAAGGTACAATGTCGTTACCTGACAGGACCAGCACTAGGTAAACGTCTCACAGATGTTGCGAAGTCAACTGACAACCTTATTTACTTTAACTGTAATGATACAGGAAAGTGCACTTGGCCTTTTGATGTTGTCGTCGCTCATCTACTACCTCAAATGAACCTAAAACTAAGGCAAAATATTTTGCATCCAGCCACTTGTATACTAGGAAAAAGTATAATTTACCTAATCCAAATTACATCGGTCACCAGTGGCCATCCTGTATCAGGCATATTAGACACATACAGCACTTGATGCCATCATGTTTCTTAGACGTTTCTATGGGATGTAAATGTGACCCTTGTGTGTCCAGGAATGATTTTGAACACTATCTACCACGCATTATGCTCTAACTTGAGCGTATCAGCAGCTTGATTGCAGTACAACAAGCTTTCATTAAGTAATCAGTTAGCAACTTTGTACTTACAAAATTGCGAAACTTGAGCAAGAAAAAATAACTCCACTGATGCTGTATTTGAAAAAATCAAGGCCAATCAACCGCAGAATTCGCGTAAGTTGTCATATAGAACGCGCAGACATGGCAGACCCTAGGCTTTATCAAGTATGGAGAGATAGCTGCAGGAGCACACGGCTAGCTGAAATTGTGATGAACATTCATCGCAGCATCTAAGGCTCGATGATGTTCAGTGATCTGGTAAACTTCACTTTCAGACCCGAACATATGGAGGCTGTAACGGGGTGGCCCGTAACATGAAATTGACACCAAATGGTGTCAAATGGAATATTGTCTAGCATGACAATATTCTACCAATATTATCCGAGATGGATAATATTGAAGGAATGTTATCCCCTTTTGGATACTGTTCATGCGCTGCTCCAAGATTGGTTGATATAAGACATGTCAACCATAGATTGCCACCAATCGCTGCTAGACGCGCGCAATGAGTGGTGAGCAGGTTGTCGTCATACGACGGCGTAGTTTAGTAGAGTTAGATAAAGATTAAAGTTATCTTGATAGCTTAACTATATTAAATACAGTTCTCTTTTTACCTTTACTTGACCGAGTCGTTCAAGTAGATTAGCTTCCTCTGCACGTACTAGTGTACGTGAAGTTTCGCGGCACCCCAAAAAAAAGTGCCCCGTTACACCTGGTAGCACTTCGTAGTCCGTCCAACGACTGCTTAGTGCCCGTCCAACATGAACATGTTGGGCGTAGAAGACGACATCTTTCACGTCACACGTGAAGGCTACTCCCACCTGAGTGACTCAGAATGGGAGGTAGTCGGCCGCATGAGTGTGCTCATGGGCGGACCCGCCATCAGTGGTATGTTGGAGTCTCTAAGCAGAGACCAGCAACATGCTGCTATCAACAAGTTCCTACAAGGGGAACTTGCCGTCGAACGACAGAAGATAGCCTTGCTACAGCAGCAAGGCTCTCATCAGTCTATGGGCGGGCCGACGCACTTGCGTCGACCCGAAACCTTAAAGATTTATATCTCGAGGTTCAAGGGAACCGATGAAGATTCCCTTTTGAGATGGTTCGTCGAGCTAGACGATGCCATCAGGGCCCGTCACATCGAGGGTGACGAGATGCAAGTCACCCTCGCCCTATCAACTTTGACGGGACGAGCAAAGGTTTGGGCCTTAGGGCTCAAGCTTCACGACCCAAACGTGTTTGAGTCGTTAGAGATCTTGATGTCTCGGATTAAAGAGACGTTTGAGCCGCCGAGAGCCGAGTCCAGAGCACGCTCTGCACTCTTGAGGCTAAATCAAGGTAAGCGTGACGTGCACGCTTACGCACATCAACTGCTCTACCTGCGAGTAGCGTTGCGGAAACCCTGTTGATGAGCACACGCTCATCAACGTGTTCATCTACGGCCTTGTAGAGGGGCCGGTGAAGACCTACATGTTCCAAGAGGACTTCCATACGCTGGAAAGGGAGATAACGTATGAGAAACAATAAGACTTCAGCCTGAGACATTCTCAGGCTAACTCGTCCAACTATCGTCCGACGAGGCGACAGGAAATAGGAGGTCCCGAACCAATGGACCTCTGTTACATCGAGAGCGAGAAACCTCGCTCTCTGAGTCACAAGTGAACGGCAAGATGCCATCGCTGTCAGAAGATTGGACACTACGCTCATGAGTGTAGTGTCCCGAGCACTGCGACACGTCCGAAAACAGGACGTGATGACCGCCGTTGTCCAAGGAAAGGTCCGAGGCGTGGGTCCGACCATTTTGCCAAGCCGCGACAGCAAGTCGGACCGTCAAAAACGGTCAGGGTCAGTAGTGGCGGAGCACCCTGCTGATTCAGCAACGTCAAGAGTATCTGCAGGACTCTTGACGAAGATTGCTCCCAACACACAGTCGCTGTGTGCTACTGCCCCTAGTGATGAGGTGTCCCTCATCACTTTGAAGATCGAAGTGACAAGTCGTATGTCACTTCGCGCCCTAGTTGACTGTGAGGCGTCGAACAGTTTTATTCGACGCCAGTCACTAAAGGATAGTAGGCTCAACTATGTTGAGCGAGAGTTCCCTCCAACGAGGATGACGGTGTGTCATGCTACAGGCGCATATGTAACAGTGAACAAACGTGTAGTGGGAATCCACTACACGCTAGAAGGAAATCAGATTGATAATGACTCCATCGTACTAGATTTGGATGACAAATTTGATGTCATCCTCGGTCTGCCATGGCTTAGAAATACCAGCCATGTATTAGCTGGTAGCGTCGATCCGTGAAGATTCCTACCGTTTGTTCATCAGATGGCCCTCTGGTGAACGTCTTGGAGCGCCCACAAGCGTGTGGATGTGCTACGATTGAGTGCGATGGCCTCAATTGTGGAACGGTCGTAAGTACGACTGCACAAGATCACAGTGTAGAAGGCCACTACACTGTGGAACCGGCTTCCGGCACCTGTGTAGAGACACAGGCTGCAACGAATGTTCACCACTCGAAGAGATCGAGTGGACTAGAGCACGGCTGTATACCAAGAAGGGTGCATCCGAGAAGAGAGAGTAGTGTTGTTCAGGATGGACAACACGTTGAAGCTAGATCGACTAATAGAGAGTCGATCGTAGAGCAAGCCCGCTCGACTGAAAGAGAGTCGATCGAAGAGAACGCGACCGTGATAGTACACGTAACGGAAGAAAATTCATGCGTTCCTGAGAGAAATAACTCCCGAGATAGTTATGCTGAGGGTGTGGATCCCCAACCACCTGCGGATGCGTTTTCCAAGGAAATCACCGAGACAGTGAATGTCTTGGTGAATGACGGATCAAGTGTAGGCACTTATACAATTGATATGGTTACACCTTCGAAGTCAGATTCGGAGGTAGTCAAGCTGCCAACGCTAGAATCTAAAGATTCTTGCGAGATCTGCGTAGTGACAAAATCAAGCAGATCTGCGTACTCGTCACAGAGGACGAGTACGTCGCCGATATTCGGTCGGCACAAGTGTTTGCTGAGATCGAACGGGTTCTCAGTAGTTCATCGATGGACGAGAGTGCCCTCGATGAGAAGACCCGGATTGAGCGATGGATGAGAGTGTCCTCGATGCGAAGACCCGGATTTGAGCGGTACACGTCTCAATCTTGGGAGTATTTGAAGACAAATCCTTTGTAAAAGGATTTGATCGAACTCAGGGATGTTTTCCCTGAAACCATGCCATGCGATCTGCCCAAGGACAAAGGCACTCGGCATGAGATCGAGCTGAAACCTGGTTCAAAATAATGTGTCATGAAACAGTGGCCACTGCCTCGTGAACAGGTCACAGCGATCGACAAATTCTTTGCCGATCGTTTAGCGGCTGGTCATGTGAAGGAATCAAGATCCCCACACATCTCTCCGACCTTCTGTGTGCGAAAGGCCACAGGAGGGTGGCGGATAGTGCACGCGTTCAACAAATGGAACACTGCAACGGCACTGGCCCAAAAGCCGATACCAACGAAGGACGTCATCATAGATGGTGTGGCAAAGAGTACCATCTTTTCGTCCATGGATCTGCTGGATGGATTCTATCAGATCCTCACGCGTGAACGGGACATCCCGTACACAGCAGTGAGCACCCTCAGTGGTATGCTCTGGGAGTGGCTAGTGATGTCACAGGGATAAGTAACGCCCCTGCAACGTTCAGCAAATGTGTGACGAATCTGTTGCGGTCGGTTCGAGACTTCGCACCGAGTTACTTCGACGATGTCTTCGTCCATAGCCGGGCTATGGATGGAAAGACGGACGTGGAGGTTCATAGAATCCACGTCCGGAAGGTTCTTACGCTTATGCGAGAGCGTAAGTTGTATGTCAACCTCAAGAAGTGCATATTCGTAGCGAGCGAGATACCACTTCTTGGCTGCATCGTGGGAAAAAAGGCGCACTCCCTGATCCGGAAAAGATCAAGGCGATTAGTGACTGGCCTGTGCCAGTCGACGTCAATGGACTTCGATATTTCCTTGGCTAAGAAGCGTACTTGCACAAGTACTCTCGCACTTACGCCTATTTGACCGTTCGTCCCTCTCGACTGCTAATAAAAACGAGAGGTGGTCATGGAGCGCTGAGTGTCAGCACTCTTTTGAAGGCATCAAGAAAAGCTTGGTGCAATCGCCTGTGTTGGCGATTCCAGATCAGGATAGACCATTTCATGTGGTCTGTGACGCCAGCCATTTGCAATCGGCTGCGCTTTAATGCAGTACAACTCAGAAGGCGTTGAGCGCGTCGTCTGTTATCAATCGCGTCAGCAGCAAGCAGCTGAGCGTAATTATTCAGTGCATGACAAGGAACTTCTTGCCTTGAAATTTTCACTGGCTAAGTTTCGGGTATATCCCTCAGAAGATAGGTCCTTCATCGTTTGTACCAATTATGCGTCGTTACGCACGGCCGTAAACAGTCCACACCTCTTGCAACGAATGGTGAGGTGGCTGTCTTTCTTCGCGGCGTACAACTTCTACGTCGTGTTTAAACCAGGACGACTTAATGTCGTCGCTGATGCTCTTTCGCGTCGAACCTATTTCGAGCCGACTGCTCAACACTACAGTAGGGGTGATCCCACTGCATCGACACTAACAGTGAGTGTTCCGTAGTCGGATCTGCTCGACGACATGCGAAAAGCATACACAGAAGATGAGTATTTTCTGCGATCGATGGACTATTTATCTAATCCATGCAGTCAAGCTTTGAAAAGCTTGACGTCTCAATACCGCTCTTCAACCGAACGGTATTCGGTTCGTGATGGACTGCTGTACTATGCAGCAGTCAAAGGAGACACACCTCGTGTCATCGTTCCTGCTCATGATGATTTGCGATTGCGCATCATGTATGAGTGTCACGGTGCCCCAACAAGTGGGCATCGCGGTAAAGAAAAGACTTACCTCACGGTGAGTCGTGACTTCTAATGGCCCCGCCAGTATGAGTTTGTGTGCAAATGCGTCCGCGCTTGCGAAGTTTGTAAACGGGTAAAGCCTAGCCCTTCATCCCGCGCACCCTAACAGCCTCTTCCGATTCCGGCTGAGTGTTGGCAGTCCGAATCGATGGACTTCGTCTTCGGGTTTCCTAAAGACGTTCACATGAATACTGTTATTCTTGTGCTTGTTGATCGGTTCAGCAAGACGGTACATCTTGTTGCTGTACAGGAGTCAATCACAGCCCAGGTTTGTGCTCGTGTCTTCATCGATACTATCTTCTGAATTCACGGGTTTACCCGTGAACTCGTGTCTGATAGGGACCCCCGCTTCACAGCGGAGTTCTGGCGACCCGTGCTCCGTTCACTCGGAACACGTTTGAAGATTTCAACTTCTGACCATCCCGAAACAGATGGTCAGACGGAACGCGTCAACCGCGTCCTCGAAGAGATACTTCGAGGGTATGTCCACTCGTTTACGAGCTGGAGTGAGTTCTTACCGATGGCGGAATTCGCCATCATCAACTCGGTGCACGCGTCTACAACGCTTACACCGTACTTCGTGAATGGCCTACGTCATCCACTTTTACCTGCCTTCTTAGAGTGTGACTCTAGCGTAAGGGGGGGGTGAACTCGCTCGAACAAAAGCCGATCTGGTTCTTGCTCATCACCTGTCGACAATGGTGTCGACGTGATGGATGCCGATGTCGGTGGGATCGATGTCGATGATAACGATGAAGACGATGCTGGCATATTCAGCATCGCTAATGACCGTTAAAGTGAGGACGATGATACCCTCACTGGTGAAGACAACGTTCTTTCAGCAGTGCACACGAAGCGCACTGCTGTTGACAAGGATGACACAGCAGAGGAATTTCTACTGACTCGCGAAGCGGTTGTCCGCTTCGTTCAAAACTCTATTGCAGATAGACAGACAGATAAGAAACGCAGACAAACATGGAAGAACAAATGTTCTTTCATTTGATGAAGGAGACCTTGTTTTACTGTCTACAGTAAACTTACCGAAACACGCGGTGACAAACGTGGGCAGCAATAAATTACTGCCCAGGTACATCGGTCCATTTCGTGTCTTGCTCCAAATGGGCAACACATACACGATTGAACTGCTTCATAAGATGCGTGCGCATCCTACGTTTTACGTCGCTCGTCTCCGCCCGTACTATCAGTACGAGCCCGTTTCGAGTGCGAAGAACACATCCGCGGTCGAGAGCCGAGACCACCTTCGAGTGGTCCCGTTTCAACGAGCCAGTCTGGTCGACTAGCGAAGCGACCTGTTCACGCATTTCAGCGATGTTTCGACGAGCTACAGCCAGCTCATCACGAAGAGAATGAGTCGAACGTTCGTTCTCAAGTTGCGCGAACGCAAAAGCGGCACGATCGTCCGAACGATCGTGCGTTAGAGAATTATAATTATCCCTCACAAGATCACCAAGCCCATAACGCCGAGTCCGTTCGTGAGCCAGGTCATCTTGCAACTGTTCCGTTACACGGTTCAGCTCTTGAACATCAAGCTGATCCGACTCTCGAGCCGGATCGGCTGTTCCCGCCGCCACCACATCCTTTGGTGAACTCAGGCGGTGGTCCACGCTTCCTAGTGGAGCCTATTTTGAACCACCGCGACGTGAATGGCGTCCGGACGAGTTACCTCGTCCGCTGGCGTGGCTATCCACCGGCCTGGGACATCTGGGAGCCTCGTGCCCAGCTGATTGATGATGTCCTTGGTCTCGTCGAGCAGTATGACGAGACCCACCCGTTGCGTTTGAAAAAGGGCCGTCGGAAAAAGACCTCCCCAAACGCGAGTACAGGGATTGCAAGGTGTCAATCCCTTTGGCCATCTTGGAAGAGATGCGCGCCCTCCAGTAGGGATCATTAGGGAGGTGGGTCTCCCTAGGGGCACGGTTGGAGTTGTCCAGGCAACCTGGACACGAATCACCCCACGAGAGACAGGGTAATCCGGCCTCTCTTAAAAGCCGGTGCAACTTGTATCGCGCCCCGACGGGGTTGCGTTTCTCAAACCTGATGCGAGCTGCATCAAGTTTGGCGAGCCAATCCTTACGGCCAATGCACTCGATATTGTGGATGAGGGCATTCCATCCCTGCACCAAAGCCCTTCCGTCTCAAATGTGGCTGCCATTGTACCACTGATGTTTGAAGAACGCATCAGTGAAAAACTTTTTCTCAGCAGGGATAGTTTCCGTTCTGGAATCAGGTGGTCAAATCTTCCTGCAACCGAACAACGGGATTCGACCTCGATCGGTAGTCGTGCCGGCCAACCGGTCCGACTCTCTGGATGGTGGCATCCACGGAGACTCCACTTGGGGAGCGTGGCACAGGACATTTCGGTCCCAAGCCTCTCGATTGTGTCAGCATGAGCACTGGCACCAGTGTTACCCCGATCCCTTAAGTTACTTCGCTCGTGGTGATGTAAGGGAGCATCACCACCATCTCCACGCGTCCTATCGTTAGACGGACTTGCGTGAGGCGGAGACTCATCGGAATAATCACTCGATCCGAAGATCTCGGTCGTGATACTGCCGCGCTGACCAGAGCCAGTCAGCCTGGCTTTTGCAGCGTCCACCCCGGGTGATCCCGAGGCGTAAGGAGTCGCCTTCAAATCGGATGCAGCATCCGACTCGCCGGAATAAATGAGCTCTATCTCAGACTCGTCCGGATTACGATTCGAGATACCCGCTGCAGACGCAACAGATGTACCTGTCGCACGTGGTGACTCACCACGTGGAGGATTCACGACAAGAGGCGACGAATCGCCTGTTGCTGAGGCGTGAGAGGCACTTTCCGCGGCCGCACGCATGCGTGCAGCCGCTCTTCTCGCTGCTGCAGTAGCAGATCGCGTGGTTTTAAAACCATGCGTTAAATTGGCAAATGAATGGAATTTGATCAACAAGTGATCCCTTTCCCAGGGTGATCCAACGGTGGTCGCCCTGTCCCGATCAATTCTAATTCAATCAACGGGTTATTGATGGTTAAGGGGGGGGTGATGTAACGGGGTAGCCCGTTACATGAAATTGACACCAAATGGTGTCAAATGGAATATTGTCTAGCATGACAATATTCTACCAATATTATCCGAGATGGATAATATTGAAGGAATGTTATCCCCTTTTGGATACTGTTCATGCGCTGCTCCAAGATTGGTTGATATAAGACATGTCAACCATAGATTGTCACCAATCGCCGCTAGACGTGCGCAATGAGTGGTGAGCAGGTTGTCGTCATACGACGGCGTAGTTTAGTAGAGTTAGATAGAGATTAAAGTTATATTGATAGCTTAACTATATTAAGTACAGTTCTCGTTTTACCTTTACTTGACCGAGTCGTTCAAGTAGATTAGCTTCCTCTGCACGTACTAGTGTAAGTAAGGTTTCGCGGCACCCCAAACAAAGGGTGCCCCGTTGCAGAGGCGATCAATCTGGTACAAAATGAGTCGTCCGATATCACGCCCCTGAACAATTATCAGTCCGTCGGCATAGCGTTTGCTTAACAATAAAGTCTGACCTTCTCACACCTGTTCCCCGTTTTCTCACATGGCGAAGATGTCGATAATTGATTCCCCCTTACGTCAAAAACAATGAAGGCAAGTTTATTAATCAGTATGCTGATAAATTTGTCATTCATGTCTTGGAGCAATTGGTTAGCGATGATGACTTTTTCCTCGAACAGAGGCGGACTAAAACTATCTCAGCCTACCAGAGGTCACGCACAAACACAGATACGAGTCGTAGTGGCAGCGGCTTCATCAGACAGCGGTTTTTTTATATTAAATCTCTCTTAACCAAAATCCTGGCTCATATCTGCTCCATCTCTGCGGTTTCGTGAATTTACGTGATGCAGCACCCTGCAGACTTCGAACCACTTAATCAGAAAAAATATAGAGATGTTGTCATTGCGTTGCGCGGGCACCAGTCAGGGCAAGTCGCTGCCATTGTCCTGTGAGACTGTGAAATATTGATGTGGCACCCACAGCACCTCAAAGCTATGAGCATCCAGCCTTGCGGTGAACCTGTACAGTGAATGTCAGGATGTGAATCTCATCTTCGCGTACTTCGTTCACGTAGAGTCAATAACGAGCCAATGCTGACGCTGTAAGAAATGGCTAGTAATTGCAAGAGGTGTCGTCATGAATTCACCTCGAGCCGAAAACGTTCATTGTAACGGGGTGAATCGTTACATAACAATTTATAAGAAATTGTTAATAGAATATAACTATAAGAGTCATATTCTCAGAACATTGTCATAAGGACAAATATTCTGTGGCACTTACGAGTAGTTCCTAATTGGTTGATATATGCCATTTACCAACCAACGAAGACGCGCCACGACAGACGCACGCAATGAGTAGTGAGCAGATAGTTGATATGCACATTTGTATTCAGACATAGTTAGATGAAGATAAATAGTGATTTATTAACAGACATTAACTATGATAAATACAGTTCTACTTTTTACTTAAACTAAGTACTCGCTTCTTCTTACCGTCTTCCTCTGCACGTACGAGTGTACGTGAAGTTCCGAGGCACCGCCTTATTCTGTCGTCAGAATAAGTAGCTTGTACTGTCATCAGTACAAGCTTCAGGGTGCCCCGTTACACCTGGTAGCACTTCGTAGTCCGTCCAAGGACCACGTTCACATCTAACATGAATATGTTGGATGATGAAGATGACCAAATCTTTCACGCTACGCGTGACGGCTACTCCCATTTGAGCGATGTCAAATGGGATGCGGTTGAACGAATGGGTTCAACCATGGGCATCCATGCTGTTAGCGTCATGCTAGAGGCTCTCAATAGAGATGCCCAACATGCTACTATCGCCAAGTTCATTCAAAATGAACTTGACGCAGAACGCGAGAAAGTAGCCTTGCTTCACCAACTAGGTTCTCAACAATCAGAGTTGTTGAGAGAACAGGGTGCTCAACAGTTTGAACTGTTGAGACAGCAGCAGGCTGCTGCTGGTGGGTCGATGCACTCGCGTCGACCCGAAACCTTGAAGATTGACATCTCCAAGTATAGGGGAGTCGAAGAGGACTCCCTCTTGAGATGCTTCGTCGAATTGGATGACGCCATAAGGGCGCGTCGCATCGACGACGGGGATATGCAAGTTGCATTTGCCCAGTCAAATCTGGCAGGACGTGCCAAGGCTTGGGCACTGGGGCTCAAGTTGCACGACCCATATGCGTTTGGGTCGTTGGAAGTCTTCAAGTCGCGGCTCAGACAAACGTTTGAACCGCCTAGAGCTGAGTTCAGATCTCGAACCGAACTCTTGAAGCTCAAACAGGGTAAGCGTGATGTGCACGCTTACGCACAACATATACGACACCTCACGAGTTGTATAAGTTCCAACCCGGTTTAATGAACACACGTTGGTTTCGGTGTTCATGCAGGGTCTTGCGGATGGTCCCGTCAAGGCTCACCTGTTCCGAATCGAACTAGATTCACTAGAACAAGCCATTTCCATTGCGGAACAGGAAGACTTCAGTCTGAGACAGGCTCGCGCCAGCTCGACATCATATCGTCAACCGAGACGATATGACAGCTGAGCTCCAGAGCCGATGGAACTCTGTTATATAGAGAGCGAGAAGGCTCGCTCTACAGACTACAAGAAGTTGCAGATATGCAACAGATGTCAAAAGACAGGACACTACGCTTACGAGTGTAGTGCCCCTCGTCCAGTGTCTCGCAACACTGGGCGTAGTGACCGTCCACCCATGAGAAAGGGGCAGGGACGCGGGTCCGCTGTTGGTGCAAAGACGCAGCAACGGGATGGACCGTCAAAAAACGGACAGGATCAGTAGGTGCGGAGCACCCTACTGGTCCAGCAACGTCAAGAGAATTTGTAGGCCTCTTGACGAAGGTTGCTCCGAACGCACAAATGCTGTGTGTTGCTGCTCTAGGTAATGAGATCTCACTCATTACCTTAAAACTCGAATTGACGAATAAGTTGTCCCTTCGAGCTCTAGTCGATTGTGGGGCGTCCAACAATTTTTTGCGACGCCAATCGCTGGAAGATGGTCATTTTAAGTTCAGTGAATGTGACACACCTCCTACGAGGATGACGGTACGTCTTGCTACAGGCGCATCCGTAACCGTCATGAAGCGTATAGTGAAGATCCACTATACGCTAGAAGATATCGAATATGACGATGACTTTATCGTATTGGAATTGGATGACAAATTTGATGTCATTCTTGGAATACCGTGGCTCAGAAGGTACGAACCACGAGTAAACTGGCAACATCGAACAGTAACGATGCCTGCCACTTGTTCATTAGATGGCCATCTGATGAACGTTTTGGAGCGTCCACAAGCGTGTGGATGTACTACGAGTGAGTGCGATGGCCTCACTTGTGGTACGGTCGTTAGTGCGACTGCACAAAACCTTAGTGTGAAAAAAAGTTACACTTCGGAGCAAAGTTCCGGCGGCTGTGAGGAAACACAGGCTGCGCCGAAGGTCCACCACTCGAATAAGTCGAGTGGACCGGGACAAAGATGTATCCCTAGCGGGGAACATCTAGAAGAGAAACAATCGATCGCTCAGGTTAAGCGAAGCGATAATCCTAGATCGACTGGAGAGTCTTTCGTAGAGGATCTCGCTGTGGTTGCGCAACCACAGCTAGAGGAAGTAACGGGAATAAATCCCGACGTTACAGATACGGTGGAAATAAGTTCCCCGAAACCCGCGGGAATAATTCCCCGGGAAGCCGAAGGAATAAGTCCTTCGAGGCCTGAGGAATAAGTCCCCAGGAAACGACAGAGACATTGAATGTCATAGTCAATAACGGATCAAGTATAGGCGCTTATACACTTGATCTGGTTGCGCCTCCGAAGTTGACTTCGGAGATCAATCAGTTGCCAACGCTCGAACAGAAAAGGTTCTTGCGTGATCTGCGTAGTGGCAAAGCCAGCAGATCTGCGTACTCGTCGCTGACGACGAGTGTGTAGCCGACATAAGGTCAGCAACAATGTTTACTGAGAACGAGAGGGTTCTCAGTAGCTCATCTATGGACGAGAGTGTCCTAGATGAAAAGACACGAATTGAGCGATATGAACCCCAATCGTGGGAATCGCTCAAGACAAATCCTCTCTATGAAGATTTGGTTGAATTCAAGGATGTATTCCCTGAAACTGTTCCGTGCGAATTACCGAAGTATAAAGGTATTCGACACGAGGTCGAGCTTAAACCAGGCTCGAAGTACTGTGTCATGAAGCAGTGGCCACTGCCTCGTGAACAGGTCACAGCGATCGACAAATTCTTTGCCGATCGTTTAGCTGCGGGCCATGTGAGGGAATCAACTTCCCCACATAGCCCTCTGACCTTCTGTGTGCGAAAAGCAACAGGAAGGTGGTGAATTGTGCATGCATTTAACAAGTTGAATGCTGCAACGGTACCGGCTCAGACGTCGATACCAAGGAAGGACGTAATCATTGATGGTATGTCAAAGAGTACCATCTTTTCGTCCATGGATTTGATGGATGGCTTCTATCAAATCCTAATGCGAGAGCGGGATATACCCTATACCGTAGTTAGCACGTCTATCGGCATGCTATGGGAATGGCTAGTAATAACACAAGGGCTTAGTAATGCCCCAGCCACGTTCGACAGATGTGTATCACATCTATTGAGACCAGTACGAGAATTCTCGCCGAGTTATTTCGATGAAGTATTCATCTATAGTCGGGATATGGATGGAAAGTCGGACGTTTAGGTTCACAGATACCACGTCCGACAGGTTCTTACAATCATGCGAAAGCATCAATTGTATGCAAACCTCAAGAAGTGCATATTTGCAGCATGCAAAATACCACTGCTTGGGTGAATCGTTGGTAAGAACGGTGTACGTCCTGATCCCGAAAAGATCAAGGCGATCGCCGACTGGCCTGTGCCGTTTGATGTCAAAGGTCTTCGAAAACTCATTGGGCTAGCGTATTTGCACAAGTATTCACGCAATTACGCCGAGATGACTGTACACCTCTCTCGTTTGTTGAAAAAGAACGAGAGGTGGTTATGGAACGCTGAATGTCAGCGCTCCTTTGATGGTATCAAGCAGAGCTTGATACAATCCCCATTCTAGCAATTGCCGATCAGGACAGGCCATTTCATGTGGTCTGTGATGCCAGTGATTTCGCAATCGGCTGTGCATTAATGCAGTACGATCTTGAAGGCGTTGAACGCGTCGTCTGCTATCAGTCGCGTCAGCTGCAACCAGCTGAGCGGAACTATTCAGTGCATGACAAGGAACGCCTTGCCATGAAGTATGCACTCGCGAAGTTCAGAGTCTATCTATTAGGAGATAGACCCTTCATTGTTTACACAGACCATGCGTCGTTACGCACGGCAGTAAACAGCCCACACCTTTCACAACGAATGGCGCGGTGGTTGTCACTCTTTACAGAATACAACTTTACGGTAGAGTACAAACCAGGACGACTTAATGTCGTCGCTGATGCACTCTCACGTCGTCCCGACTTTGAACCAGTCGTGAAACCCAACAGTGAGACAGTCACTGTTGCGGTTATGACGTCCTCAGTCCCATCTTCAACGTTGCATGATGATGTGAGGCGGGCATACGCCCAAGATGGTGAAATGGTGAAGTTATTGACACATCTCTCACAGCCATCTCGAGAATCGTTGAAACGATTGTCGTCCGCGTATCGATCTGCATCAGATCGATACACTACTCGCAACGGTTTACTGTATTATAGAGCCGTTTCTGGTGACACACCACGTGTTGTCATCCCAGATGATACTGATCTGCGTTTGCGGATCATGTTCGAGCATCACGATGCTCCTGTTGGAGGACACCGTGGCCGGGAGAAAACATATATCACAGTGAGTCAAGACTTTTACTGGCCCCGCCAGTATCAGTTTGTGCGAAAGTATGTTCGCACATGCGAAGTCTTTCAACGAGTGAAGTCAAGTCCTTCACTTCGTGCATATTTACAGCCTCTACCAGTTCCGGCAGAGTGCTGGGAATCCATCTAGATGAATTTCGTCTTCGGGTTACCCAAAGAAGCACGCGGGAATACGGGTATCCTCGTATTTGTTGACAGATTCAGCAAAATGGTACACCTTGTGGCTGCACCAGAGTCAATCACGGCAAGTGGCTGTGCTTGCGTCTTTATCGACACCATCTTCCGACTTCATGGGTTGCCCCGTGAACTCGTATCAGACAGAGATCCACGATTCACTGCTGATTTCTGGCGTTTCGTGTTCAAATCTTTCGGAACGCGCTTGAAGATGTCGACATCTGATCATCCAGAGTCAGATGGTCAGACGGAACGTGCCAATCGTGTCCTTGAAGAGATACTTCGAAGATACGTACACTCCTTTAAGTTGGAGTGAGTTCTTGCCCATGGTAGAGTTTGCCATTAACAACTCGGTGCATGCGTCCACGACACACACACCGTTTTACGCGAATGGCTTGCGCCATCCGCGTGTACCCGCCTTACTAGAGTGTAAATCTGGTTTAAGGGGGGGAGAGACTCGCGCGAGCAAAAACCGATTTGGTTCACGCTCATCACGCTCTGACGAAGAGGCCAATGCGTTTGATGCCGAGATAATACAGCGATATCGAAGAAGATGATGCCAGTGAGAGTGCGGAAGCCCTCACTGAGGAAAAGATTGATGTTGCTGCAGTGCACTCACAGCGCACTGAAGCTAACGAGTAATCAGATGAGTTCATACTGGCTCGTGAAACGGTAGTCCGTTTTGTGCAAGACTCCATCGCCGAAGCGGTGGATAAGCAAAAGCAAAACGCAGACAAGAATGGAAGGGCAAACACTCTTTTATTTAATAAAGGTGACTTAGTCCTACTGTCTACGGTTAACCTACCAAAGCATGTAGTGACTAACTTGGGTAGCAGTAAACTACTACCCAAGTACATCGGCCTATTTTGTGTATTGCATCGCCTAGGCAACGCATACACGATCGAGTTGCCACGTAAGATGCGAACGCATCCCACGTTTTACGTTGGTCGGCTTAAACCGTACCATCACTATGCTGCTTCTTCCGATGAAGAACTCCTTTGCGCTTAAGCATCTCGCAGAGAGCCTTGTGCTCCCGATGGTGGCCATCGACAAGGGTCTGAAGAGCAGTTATCTCAGCCCGAGACCGATCAACATCCCCACGAGCCACCCTTAGCTCGTCACGCAGAAATGTCAAAGCTCTCTCGTTCTCAAGCTGAGCAAAGGCAAACTCAGCTCGATGCTTCAAGACAGCGTCCGCCAGTTGGAGACGCCTGTCCCGCTCATGTTCGAGATCGCCGCGTAACCCTTGCGTTAAGCGATCAAACAAGCTCTCGGGGACACACGCTTCCCCACGATTAAGTGGAGATCGTCTTCCCTCCTCCTCCACCTCCATTAGAGGACTCTCGCGGTGGCTAGCGCTATCTGGTTGAGGAGCTGTTGAACCACCGCGATGTGAACGGACGTCGGACGCGTTACCTCGTCCGGTGGCGCGGCTATCATCCGTCCTGGGATAATTGGGAGCCCCGCTCCCGACTGATTATTGACGTACTGGGTCTGGTTGAGCAGTACGACGCGGCACATCCTGTGCCGCAGAAGGACCACCGGAGAAAGTCTTCCCGGCACGGTTGTAAAGGGATTTCAGGCTGTCAATCCCTTCGTACATCTCAATAGAGATACGTACGCGCCACCACGAGCTAGTAAGGAGGTAAGCCTCCTTAGGTGCGCGCGCAGAGTTGTTCACACAACAAGGGCACGAGTCTCCCCAGGAGAGGCAGGGTAACCCACTCTCCCTAGACATACGATGCAGCTTGTAGCGTGCACCTGTCGGGGTTCGCTTTTCAAACTTATCACGAGCTTTGATAAGTTTGTCGTTCCAAACTTCACGACCTACATCCTCAAGGTTATGGATGTAGGCGTTCCACGCTTGAAGCAGTGAGGGACCATCACGTTTGTGATTCCCACTGTACCATCGATGTTTAAAGAAAGCATCGATGAAGAATCATTTTCAGCGCGATAGTTTTTCGCACTGGGTTTAAGGTGATGGATCCTTGACGAATCGAACAACCGTGTTCGATAACGATCACTCGTCGTCGCCGACAAGTGATCCATGATGGATTTAGGAGGCATCCATGCCTTCTTCTCGGGAGCGAGACGCAACACACTGCGGTCCCGCTCTTCTTGCGATGTGCCGACAGAAGGACTGGCACCTCGTTGCGAAGTGGTGTCAATAGGAGAACCGACACCACTGTGAGCGCCCGAGTCTCGAGACCTCGAGCGCCTTCGCTTCGGCGATGGTTCGTCCGATTCATCAGATGAACCAAAGATGCTACGACGCATAGCATCATCCATGCCACGCTTGGCAGGACGCTTGGTTTCGATCGCCTTGACACGGATCCGTCTTCCGTATCAGGAGAGTATGAGACACCGAGCTCATACTCTGTGAAGACATGAGTGTCTTCATGACGAGCGCCTGCATCACCAGGTGACACAGGCTGAGTCGCTTCAGCAACCGATGACACATCGGTTGCAGCGGTTTCTGCTTCGGCTTCCGCACAGAGACGTGCGGACGCGCTACCGGCGGCCTTGCTCGTGCACCGCATGGGCTTGTTAACCATGCGATGAACTGTTGGAAAGTGGACTCGGACCAACAAGTGCAAACCCTGTCCCAAATGATCTGGGAAGAGTATCCATTTAGTCAATCAGTCACTAAAGTGACTGATGGTTAAGGGGGGGTGATGTAACATGGTGAATCGTTACATAACAATTTATAAGAAATTGTTAATAGAATATAACTATAAGAGTCATATTCTCAGAATATTGTCATAAGGACAAATATTCTGTGGCACTTACGAGTAGTTCCTTATTGGTTGATATAGGCCATTATATCAACAAACGAAGACGCGCCACGACAGACGCACGCAATGAGTGGTGAGCAGATAGTTGATATGCACATTTGTATTCAGACATAGTTAGATGAGGATAAATAGTGATTTATTAACAGACATTAACTATGATAAATACAGTTCTACTTTTTACTTAAACTAAGTACTCGCTTCTTCTTACCGTCTTCCTCTGCACGTACGAGTGTACGTGAAGTTCCGAGGCACCGCCTTATTCTGTCATCAGAATAAGTAGCTTGTACTGTTAGCAGTACAAGCTTCAGGGTGCCCCGTTACATTCATGCCTCCTCCAGATTGATCTCCAGCTGTGCAACGGGCACCAGAAGCGGATAAATATAGGTACTGTCGACGCCTACTGCAACCTGATCTCGTCAACTTGGTCAGTTTCAGTCATTTTGCGTGCTACGTCAGATGACACATCAGTCATCTTCTCGTTCCAGCGCTAAAAATGACGTATTGACAGCTTAGGGATCATGTTGAACTGGGCTTAGACAGTATGAGAGCCTATGATGGTAGAGCAGCGGCATGGTGCATGTTCATTCGACCTTGTCACGCAAAGCGAACGCGAACAACGCGGAACGTCGCATTCAGGCACCTGCTGCCATCTAGTGCCAGTGCAAATTCTCATTGTAGGCGAAGTACGCTGGCAAAAACTAGAAGCTGAAAGTCACTGCAGACGCGCCAAGATGACAGCTTTGAACTCATGCACGTCACCATGTTTGGCACAGTCTGAAGCGGGGCACCACAGTAACAAACAGGAAAACCAGTGTGAAGCTACTACCTCCGACAGCAGCGTCAGCGGTGCCTCGCTACCGCTGTAATTCGGCAGATGAAGTGAAAGCAGCTGGGAACTGACTAGTTGCAGGTAAAAGTAGAGCCGTACTAAATATAATCAAGTCCTAATCATTAACCTATGTGTTAGTCCTTGCACGATTGTATTCATCTGCAAAAAAGCATGCAAAAGTCTTGCTCACCGCTCATTGCGCGCGTCAATCGTTGATTGGTCCGCTAGAGCTGGGTGATATGATGACCCATACCAATTGATCGGAGGTGTGACTGAATATTACCTTTTTTCGATTATATAGATGAGCATTATCAACCTTTATGGTAATATCTTAATTAACAAGTACCAGAATTAATTACATGCAACAGACTCACCTCTTTACACCGTCTACATTGGCTACCTGAACATATTGCGTTTTCCATGAAGCTCATGATAATGACAAAAAACCTAGTACTTAGAGAAAGAGCACCGAACTTGTGATCGTCACAACATAAACACCAAATTCATTGTTGCACTTGAAGGTTTTTTGTGTTTTCGCAACTGACGCCTTCAATGTCATCCGGGTTCCAAAGCATATCGCCAAATAAAACTTTGACAATATTGGCCTCCAATTCATTCTTGTATGGTCGAGATGGGGCCTAAGTAGGCCACAATCTGATCAGCGAACGTTACTGCTAATTGGTAGTGAGCCTCTTTTTGTAAGCTCCGAGGGTTTAGTACACTGCTCACCCTTCTGGTGCTCGCGCTGCAGATGCATCCGGTAATTATCTGGCCTGAATGACGGATGGGGTTGCTTGACAATTTCTGACACTTCGGGCGTGTAACCTCCTCACGAGCGAAAAGGACGCTAAATCTGCACGATGTAAGTGTGTGAAGTAATATGAACAGGGTCGATCGCATCAACACGCAGTCCATGCTCCACATAGTACTTCAACTGTCAGGTGTCTACCATTTGTTCGTTGAATTCCCGTGTTGCTTGCCCTTCATATCAAAACACTCCAATGATACGAGACTATTTTGATTCTATCAATCACGTCGGCAAGCTTGGAGAGGCACAAGCTGACATACCGGGGTGTGCAAAGTGCAAAGAAGACAGGGGGGAAATGTCCCTCTTAAAGTGTATGGAGCAGGTAGGGATGGGACTGGGGTTTACTGGCGCCCATAAACAAATAGTTCGAAGGAATGTGGGCGAGTTGCAGCAAACACCATAAAGATGCACTGCCACAGCCTATCGAAGCTGTCAGGTGTTTCACAGTTGAAATCCACTCAACCTCTCTGCCTGCCTCTGAGTCCCTTCCTCCTTGTTTGTTTTGCTTTCGCCTAACAACTTTTAAAATATGAACGGTTGAAAAAAAAGTCGCGCTTCAGAATTTGATCCTTTTTTAGATTGGACACTTGCTGGGTTTTATATTGGGCAAAACTAGGCCTGATAGTACAAAATGCCTAATCTAAGAGGGCTGGTTATTTCCGATTTTATCGTTTCAAAAAATTAGAAAGCGATCGGCAGTCTGAGCTTTTATTCACCCACGTCAGCTGAACCATAACCGACGTTGTCAGTAAGTGTCGACGATGCCCTCAGCATTGTATTGTACAACGTTGGACGGTACGAAGGCTAGCAACGGGAGACATTGCACAAACACATCGATGGCAACGACTGGCCCTTTTATGAGATAATAGCAGCAGGTGAACGAATAGAGTGCTTCTCATGCACTTGCTGACACGAAGCAGCAAGACACAGATGCTTTATAGGCGGCGCGGTCGATTGCGTTTCCTCGAACTGAGACTGCATGCCAGCTGATTCAACCTGACCTTTCACACACACGGAGGCGGAAGTAAAGTACGAACGTTGACTGCAGACGAAGCGAGCAAAGTAGCGAGGCGATGGCCCCGGTCACTGACCATAATCAGTGTCCAGCGTCGAAGTTGACGGTTCGTGTTTCGATAGTCGCTTGTGCTTGTGCACCGAGCTTGCTCCAGTTAGCCGTACAGAAGACAGAACAAAGTGAAGCAGGGGTGGCAAGACACGTGGCTTGACAGAACCTTTTGAGGAAAGCATAACCGACTTCTGCTTACACGTCTAAGCTGAGCTACCAAGACGTCAACAGCCAGGGAGCACGCACTTGTCGTCAGCTTCCTCGAACACGACTGTACGGGGCAATACAATTGCTCACGACTGTATCATGTGGCAGAGGGAGAAGACGATAACAGTCGTGACCCAGCAGTCGAACGTCAGGCGTAAATGGCCTTCTGCTTCTCCACCTCAGCGATGTAGTCCTTCATGGCGTCCTCCTTGGACACACCCTTCTTCTCGTTCCAGGCATTCCACTTGGCTTTGCCCGTCAGGTCAAACATTCCAGGGGCGGGCGTCGTGTTGTCACCCACAGTAGCTTGCTTGTAGTTTGCATACAGCGCCAGCTTCTCGTCGTTGGTCTAAGAGATATGAGAGCGAGACCAAGAGGCACGACATGTTACACTGCGGTCAGTCGAAATCAAAGGAAGGCTGTGTGTTAAAAGAAGGTACGTACAGGGTTCTTGCTGAACGTCTTGACGAGCGCGGCGGCGGATTCGAAGTCAGTTTTGAGGTCAGACATGGTGGTGGGATCTTTAGGCACGTAATAAAGAGGAAATGACTCAATGACGTCAAGTGTCGATGACATTCGATCGGCATGGAGGGGGAGAGTTACCGGCGAATGTATCATTACCGGTAGCTCAGTGGATCCAGCTGAAGGACGATCCGCTGTACTGGGTGACGCTAGCTCGATTGGAGGCAGTAAAATCTCAGCTTATTCAAACCAGTACAATACCGATACGCAAGAGTATTTGATTCATTGAGAAGCATAAAACGCGTGCTTTTTAAAAAGTTACAATTGCGTTGGTCCTGTGCCTTGGTACAAATCTACTTTATTTGCTGTCTGACACGGACAATCTGTCTCTGATGTCCTTTACGGTACATTCGTGCGATCATGATTTCAAGTTATCTTCCCTCGATCAATGCCGTCCAATCAAACGAAAACGTCGAGCTGCAGCCGACATTTACTACTTCTCGATTCGTGGTCGTCCGTGCAAACATGGTCTCCAACTCTTGTACATTTTTCATATTCGCACAAGCTGGTGACAGCACGCATAGAAACGTTGACACCGAATGCACGACGAGCAGCCCGAGTTCCACGATGTGGTCGTGATCGGCGCTGGTGTGGCGGGTTTGCGCTGTGCCAACCAGTTGGTTCATGTGAAGGGCGTAAAAGACGTTCTAGTTGTTGAGGCGTCGGACCGTATAGGCGGCCGCGTAATGAGCAACACGAGCTTTATTCCGGGCATGAGTATCGATGTTGGCGCCGAAATTCTTCACGGTGCTAACACAACGCTTACGCGACTGGCCGAAGAGCTTAGCATTGGTCTGCGCGAGATCTTCACTTGGGCTCAGGTGCGGGGAGAGGTTTTAGGATCGTTTGGTTTCTTTCATAAAAATAGGCGGTAGTCGCATCGATTAATCAGCCATTGATTTGCTCTCAAGAGCATCAGGTAATCTTCTGGCCTTCATACGAATGCAAGAGTAAACGTCAGATCATGCTTCCTTAATTAGCAGCTCCAGGGCGAGCGATGTAGTCTCTCTTTTTAGAAGACTCGTTGCTCATTAGCGTGCATTCGATGGCACAGTTCTTGTGTCGTTGAAATTTGTGCGTTTCCACCCGGGAGAAGTCAGTCTGGATTCATACATCGTACTTCTTTCAATTAATGTGCATGCTTGTAGTGAGCTGTCAAATATATCGTATCTCAAGTCATCCCACTTCTGACTGGTATTGAACTTCTCAATGGTTTTGATCCCTCACAATGCCGCACATTATTTGCGTATATACAGGGTGATGGTGGTCCAACCTGCCCAGCTGGAGACGGCGGTATCGGCTACTACTACATCGGCGACCAGAAACGAATGCTGAAATATGACGATGAAGACGAGGAGTTTGTAAAGTTCAACTCGTCTGTAGCCCGGTTGAGTGAAATCGAGAACATTGATCGGATCCCATTCGAAAAGTCCATGAGGGATTACTTCGACGAGGTCGGTCTATCTTCATCGATGATGAAACTTTGTGAGGCAGGATACGCCAACACGGCCGGTGGTCCGCTCGACGACATCTCTATGCGTGCCACTTGCCGGTACGAGAAGCAGTGGATTGAGCTTGAGGATGAAGGTGATTACCGCGCTGTACCGAGTTTCATGCGTTTTGTCGAGCACTTCGCCGACGGCGTCACGACCCGGCTCAACTGGCCCGTAACAAGTGTGGACTATTCCCAGAGTGATCGCATTGTGGTTACTGGCACATCGGGTAGGCAGCTATCATGCAGCACGCTGGTCGTCACTGTGTCCACTGCTGTGTTCTCCAAGATCGCCTACACACCAGCCCTTCCTGAGATAAAGATCAAGGCTGCGAACTCGTTCGATATGCGTCGGGCTGGTAAGGTTCTGCTACACGTGTCTCGCCGTTTCTGGCCCGAAGATGCACATGGTGTCGTGTGCTCGGACTGCTTCCTGCCTGAGTTCTGGTTCAACAGCACACTGGGTATCGGTCAGTTGAAGCCAAATGGTGATAAATTGTGCACTGGAATGGAAGCGAACAAACATGAGGATGGCAAGACGCAGTACCTTATCACGGGATTCGTTAGTGCAGCGTATGCGGATGCCTTCGTGGGTGTGCCGCATGAGAAGATTGTGAAGGGCTTTCTCGACCAGCTGGACATGATCTATGGCAACGTAGACGAACCGCGCCCTGCGCACAAATTCTTCGTCAAGGGCATGTATAAAGACTTCGGAGATGAACCATGGATTGGTGGAGGATACGCTTTTCCCCGCGTGAGTCAGTCAGATTCGGCTTCACAAGACCTGGCCGCACCTATTGACGATCGTATATTCTTTGCTGGAGAAGCCACGGCTTACGAACAACCTGGTATGTCCGTGCATGCCGCAGTCGACACTGGAACTCGTGCATCTGTCCAGGTTGCGTGTGCGCTTCAGGAGCGGTCAACATAGGTCTAGATGGTGGTGGAAATATGTTAGGTAGGACGGCTAGTTTTGCTAAAATAGAATGACTCTATTGATTTACAAACGAAGTGAACGTCCATAGCTAGATACCCCACCTCTCATGTCCGTAGTAATGTGGCCAATTTTCGCGACTGTCCTTGGTTTATTCATTGTGTGTCGAAAGCTCAAACAAAGCTGGAATCCCATGCTTGATCGAAGACTCCCCAAGAAAACAATATACTTTTTTTCTTAACTGATGCGTCACAATATATTTTATATACGTAAGGGCAGGTGGGCACGAGCGCAGGAGGGTGTTGAGGGCTGCTGTGTTAGTGCCCAGCCGCTTTGGGGCCGCTGACATAAGTACGAAAGTCCTGGAGCTGCTCGTTGCTCAAAAATAGTTGTTCGTGTGCTCCTCGCGCTCTAGCCGGCTTAGCACGTGCTTTCCAAACGTAAAGCGCTTCAAATAGTCTTCGTTGTGTCGAATAATACAGATGATGCGTTGGCGGTCATGGTCATCCGCGCGCTCCAACAGCTTTTGCACCACATAGTTCCCGTACATGTGTTTCATCATGGGAAGTAGTGCACACGATGCTCCGCTCTCGTCACACTGAAGAATGAACTCGACGATCTGGCTTATCTCCTCCTTTGTCGCATGCTCCAAACAGGACTCCACAACATTGCTGGCATACTTGTGCTGGCTCCAGCGCGCAATCTCAGGCAGCACTGCTTGCATGACAATGTTGCGTTGGTCCAGTTCCCCGTGACTTATCACGTGCTGCACGACATAATTGCCGAACTGGTCCTTGACAAGATCGCGACATTTGTAAATGATCTCTCCCAACAAAGGGCGAATTTGCTCCGGCGCACAGTGTTCCAGCACACGCTGGATCACTCGGCATCCGTATGAATGGATAGATAATGCTGCAGCATGACCGATAAAGCTGTGGATGATGAACTGGATGTCCTCCCCCGTCACGAAACGTTGGCGTCCCATTCCATTGCACTCGGTCGCACGCTTCCAAGATGCCGCTTCGATGCACTTTTGGAGTACATGGTTGCCATTTTGGTCGACGACGCACTTCATCACGTGACCCTTCAGCTGTCGAATCAGGGCTAGCTGCTCTTCGACCTGTGTCACTTCCAGCGCTCGCTGGATCACGCGGCATCCGTACACTTGCAGGGCCAGACTGATCATGTTGCTTGTCATCAATTCCACCAGTAGCTGCTGCTGCTCAAGAGAACCGTACTCAAGAAACTTCTGGATCACGTAATTCCCAAACACGTCCGTCATCAATAGAAGCGAGTTTGGGAATATCTCGTCGAAAGCATCAGCTTTCAACCGATCGTCGGCCTTCTCCAACTTCTGCTGAATGAAACGCGAGCCTGTCTGGTCCTTTGCAAAGGAGAAGAGGTGTCCTTTGATGGCAGACAGTCCCCATTTCTCCGACTTTGGCGCCAAGTTGAATTCTTCCAGAAGGCTGTGCGACGAGTATGAGTGCGCGATCGGGTGCAGGTACTCAAAATCGCTTCGGCGGAAAGGTCCTCCAACTCTGGGTCGGTGCAGCATGTGATGAGGATGGGGCACGAAGTTTCCGAAGTCATGTCGCTCATACAGCGAATGGTCTACCGAAGGATACAACAGGCGAGGTCTAAACATCTTGTCTGCAGGTTTCACACTGTCATGCTCTCCGGCGTAGCAGGCTGAGTAGGCTGGTATCCCTGAACCGTGACTAGCGTGTGCGCTTGCAAAGTCCGACGGTGCGTAGCCAAATTGGGACGATTGCAGCGAGTATGCGTCCTCATTAGCAGCCCATCGAGACTTCGTGGCGCCCGTCACCACGGGGCAGCTATGATGTCCTTGCACACCCGTGTTATACAACGACGGATAACCATGCATCATAGATCCGTGGTACGACTCGCCGAAAGGTGGCTCGCTGGCGCTCCTCCCGAACGTACGACGGTAGTCGTTCACCCCAGCAAGTCTAGAGTCGGAAGCATAGTTATGGCTCGAGCAACGACCCATATCGTAATGCGGGGCCGAATGATATGAACCAAGTTTTAGTTGCCCCATTTCTTCGCTGATACTGAAGACGGACTGAGCAGCTTGTTCACTTCCTCCAAATGATAGTCTGCGAACAGGCAAGCAACTGTCGTCCACCAGTCCGAACTCGGGTGATGGCGTGCGAGGGAAGTCCTCTTGGATGCGGTCAATCAACGACATTCCTGGGGGAACGCGACAACCGGCAGTGCTATTATCACCACGGGACGATCCTGCTGGAGTAGCTCGAGTGCTTGTACGCTGGAAACCCAGTTTGTCAGGAGAAGCAGTCGAGCTAACAGTCGAGCTGTAATCACCCTCTTCGAAGTCGTTGTGGGGGTTCTTCCAGATATTTGCCGAGCGGTGATCGTGGTTTTGAGGCAGCGCACTTTGCTGCAGCACAAATCATGTGCGTGACAATGTCGTCAGAAGAAACAATGCATGATATGACCATAGGTGCCAAAACGTACCACGTTCGGGGATAGCCCATGCGACGTTGACTTCTGATTATCCGGTGATCCGTTGTCCTGCAATAGCATGCACGTGTCAGAACCAACGCTTGTGCCATTTACTTGTGGCTAGTATGAACAGTAAGTACCTGCGTTATTCCCCACGATGCCGACAGGTCTTCAGCGTTCTCAGATAAGGTGTCACGTTCATCTTGGTTGTCCTTCTGGTTGTCCACCGTCACCACCTCGCCCTCATCCGACTCACTGGGTGGTGTAGTCTGGGCACTATGCACCGAGCGCGAGTCCGCGCTGGACTGCAGCCTCGGGGCTCGCAGTGCAAAGCTGGCTGGGCGCTCGCCCAATGTCTGCGAGGCAGAGAATAGTAAGGCAGAACGCGACTTGAGCCCTACTGAAGACCAGAGTGAGTCCGATGCCAACCCGACAGGATCTTGTAGCTTCACGCGCACAGGTTCAACAGGATTGTCGTGGTGGACCGGTTTCTCCAGCGTCGCAATAGCCGATCCAGCAAGGTTAGAGGCACGCTGCGGCGGTGCAGAAAGGAAAGAAGAGGATGGGCTGAAGTCGCCGCTCTTAGTGGAACTCGTTGAGTCGCTGTGGCCCATTGTGCAGGAGGCGAGCGGTTGATGGGCGTCGAGTGCTGCTTCGTCCGTGTGCACGAGTAGTTGGCAGGTTCTGGAATGGAACGAGACCGTCGGTCGATCGTTCGCTTGAGCAGGAGTTGGTAAGTTAGAGAATGAAGTTGTTGCGGATGCGGGCGGTGACTGGACCGGGGGTTATCCGCATGCCCGCCGTCAATGGAGCGGGCGGGTGGGTGGGTCCTTTCGCTTTAAGTGAAAGGGAAGGCAACTTGTAAAAGTGAAGGCAACCTATCACAGGTAAAAGAAAGGCCGGTTTCTGCGAAACGCCGGAAACTCTCAGCGACGAGGTATGGGTTAAGCGAGTATCTACCGTCGACTGCAGTTGCATATCTGAAGACTATCTTGACCGCGGATCTTAACGACTACCGCAGGTCTGAGATGAGTGTGTAACAAGATTGCACGAAACTGCCGGGCTCGCCCCCGTGAGATGTGGCTGATGCCTATCCTCATTAGTGCTGGCGGGCACAGTGGTCCGCTTGCATCGGAATTTTCAGGTCGTGCGTTGATGCCGAGCGTGGTCGAGACAGTTGAGCTCACATTTCACAGAAAAATCCTAGCATGCGCGACGGCAATTGACTCGACTGACGCGGTGGTAACCATCGACTGGCGTTTCCGGGGTCGGAAGAAAGGGTGGCAGTCTGCATGCGTTATGTTAACGGCAAGTTGAGGAAAGCCTGGGCTCGTCAACTCGCGTCCACAGAAAGGACATCGTTGACCATCACTCTGCAAATAGCAAACTTGCGTGTTGCATTCGGCAGCGTCACGACTTGTTCGACGGGATCAACAAGTCAGTAACTGCTCGTTGGGCCGACAGAACGACGCTGCTAGCTTGCCGTGGAAGTGGCCTGACTAGCTGGCGAAAATTTAGGCGGCTTCATTGCCGGACGACGGCAGCGATAAGGCTCCGACAATCCTCCGTATCGTCGAGACGGCCCTTTCGCTTTGATACCGTCCGTGCCACCGTGTCGCTTTAGGCAGGAAAAGGAAACATTGCAGTCTGTTATAGCCAGCATATCATACGCACGTATTCAACACGTAAATGAACTGTGAATTCACAGCTCGTCGTTGCGATAGAGAGAGTAGGCGCAACTTATACAACCGGGCAGAAGAACAAACAAGGTCCCCCCACATCCACGTGTTTTAGGTACCCTGTCCCAATCACAGATGCCGTCTATCAAGCGGAGACGGTAGCTACAGATGTCAGCCTAGAGAGTCAGCGCCAGGGGGTCAAGAGGTTGCCAGACGTGCTAGTTGCAGCTTACGAGCTCTTGGGTTTCAGAACCAGCAGAGCTACGGCCGCAACGCCTGCCGTCAAGACAGACGCCGTAGCAAGCGCGCGCGTAGTCGAATACCACGACGCCGCTCCGTCCGCACTCGTTGCTGCTGTCGCTGCTGCCACTTGCTTCTTGGTCTTGCGCGTGAAGATCGACTTGTCCTCTGCACTTTGACTACCGGTTGCCGTTGCCGTGTTGACAGTCGACGCGGACGCGTCAATCTTATCGAAGATGCCGCCCCAGGCTTTCTTCTCCTCACGTTTCTGCTTGTCCAGCAGCTTGGACACCGTGTCTAGCAGCGTGCGACACGACTTGTCGCGAGGGTTCAGCTTCACCGCCAGCAGCAGATCCTGCTTGGCGTCCGCGTACTTTTCCAGCCTGACACACGCCTGGGCGCGACGGAAACGAGCTTTGGACGGCCAGTCCCCAAACATGAGCTGCTCCGACATGCCGAGCCGCCCCATCCACGTGACGACGTTGCCCTCGCGGTTCTCGGACAGCACTGAAAGGATACTCAAAGCATTCGTGCACGCAATCTCGGCGTCGGCATAGGCATCCAGCTTCAATTTGCACGCCCCGATATTCAAGTGGCAGCGAATCATCGTCTGGATGATCGTCGCTTTCTCCTTGTGCGTAGCGTGATCTTGCTCAACGCGCTGGAGAAAGCCCAATGCTCGTAGATAGCTGTACACGGCTTCCTGCAACTTGCCGAGCCGGAACTCCTCATTACCTGTATCGGCAAGCTTCGTCGCCTCGCTCACGAGGTCTTTCAGTGTCATTTCTAACACATCCTTGGCTGGCACCTTGACATCCTTGCGCTGCATGAACATGCGCGCATAGTGGGACTGGACAATCAAGACATCGTCTTGAGGACGGATCTCTTCCAGAATACCCGGACCGTACGGCGTCATCACCTTCATGTGCATGCGGAGATGCGGTTCGTCAGGCTCTTCTTTTACCACGTCTTGCTGCAGGTAGGCAATCGTTCGGCTCCCCGACGCGGATGCAGTGTCCATCTGGACCACATACATCGTTGTCTCTGGCCGGAAACAGACCACCACGCCTCGTCCGAATGGAGTCACGACGCGAGTCTTATCAGCAAGAGGGGCGACGCTTACTGCAGCTGGGTGGTGTGCAAGAATGTCAAATTTGTTGCCAGGTACGTACAGCGCAGCTTTTGCCGTCTCCTTGCCATATGCAGCAGGATGACGTACAGGAGGATTCACAAGGCGCACAGTAGCCTTGTATCGCTCGATATCATCGTCGTTCTCGCGCTTCTTTTGACGCAGCCGAGTCAACGTACGCTCGTGACGCTCATGCGCCGAATGCGTAAACGTGACGCGTAGCAGCAATTTACCAGCAACGCCACTACTACCTGCAGACGTCGGAGCTTTCAACTCGACCCATTTCGTGTGAGGTACCTGGTCCTCGTAGTCAGTACTTCGCAACTCGACTTCTCCAAGCACGATGTCAGCAATAACCGCCGCGCTGCTGCTAAGCATGACCTTGATGCCAAACTTCTTGGTCTTGGCACCATCATACACGAGACGCTCCCGCCATGTTACCATACCACTATCTACTGCTTGTACGTTTTTGGTGCGCAGATACTTCTTTGTCGTCTTCTCGAAAGCCGATAGTGGCGTTACCTGCGTGGACACGTACAATTCCGGCCGCGTGTTGCCATTGACCGCTAGTATTGCTGTGTTCGTATCCAGCACTAGGTCTTTCGCATCCAAGACTTCCATCACCACGCATCCTGCAGCTTTGCCTGTCTTCGGATCCACGTCCACGTCGTGCTTGTTCTGTTTGCATGTTTTTGCTGCTGCAGCTGTCTCTTCAGCCAGACGCAGCTCTTCATCCAGCTGTACTGACAGCATCTCCAGTGGTGAAAGTGCCACCTTCTCCCACATGAGCGAGCTGCCCAGCCCCTGAGACGACGCTGGTGAGTCACTCAACGACTGCACGTCACTCATGTCTTTTTCCGAGCGAGTGGTTGATGTGCGTGACGTGATGGTGACAGTCACGGTCCCGGTCCGTTTTATTCCGAAACCGGTTCAATTGGACACTCGCGGACCTGATTCGTATCGCAGCTCTATAAATAGACTGCCGGAATGTCGAGCACAATGGGGACTCAGGTCGAGGCCGTGGCGTCCCATGCCAGCCCAGCGGTCAGCGAGGAATGGGACAAGAGACTGCGCGTGATTCATGTTGACCGAAGGAAGCTCTTGAATCGAGCAAATGATGTGCAGCGTCGGCGCCGGCGCCGCGAAGAGCGCGGGGCAAGTAGTCGGCTCCTGTCGTGGCTAGTTGATCGTGGTCTTCAGAGTCCACCAGTCGACGCTGTGGAATTGCCTTCGCCTTTTGCCAGCAATATTGTGGTCAGTGCCAAGTACAGGGTATGGAATTTTGCACCGCGCGTGCTCCTGGCGCAGCTGCAGCGTCCTTCGAACGTGTACTTCCTGTTTATCGCGTTTCTCCAGACGATTCGAGAAGTCAGTAACACACGCGGCATCCCGACGATTCTTTTGCCGTTGGCAGTGGTTTTTGTATGTAGTGCCATTAAAGAGGCACTGGAAGATCGAGAGCGTCATCGAGCAGACCGTGTGACGAACAGTCGACCGGTACTGACGCTCAGTCCTTTTGGTCGATGGGAACAGCGGCAGTGGGGGGATTTACAAGTCGGAGATATTGTCAAGGTGATGAAAGACGAGACGATTCCGGCAGATTTGTTTCTACTGTCAGCAGAAGCAGTGGAACACGACGACGACGGCAACGACAAAAGACAATCAATACGAACGCAGGATCCTTTGACTTTGGAAGGAGTTGAGTCTTTGAAGGACTCGAAAAGTCGAAAAAGTCTTGCACAGGATCCTTTGGAACGTCTTGTAGCTGTAAAGATTGATGAGGATGAAGCATACAGGTCAGCGCTGCCAAAGGAGGGGACAGCAGAGACTAATCTAGCGTACATTGAGACTAAGTCACTGGACGGTGAGACGAACCTGAAGATCCGTACGGCTATTCCGTTGATGACTGCCCTATGTCGGCGATCAAGTAATAGTCGTCAAATTGTTGATGGAGGTGGACACAACGGGCTGTGCGGTACACTGATGTGCGAGCAGCCAAACAACCGAATCTCTAGCTTCGAAGGTACTTTTTCGGCCGTATTGAGCCCTGCCCAAGTGCATATGCTGGGTGTAGACGAAGGCGATACAAAGAATGCTATTTGCTCGTTACAACCAGTAGCTCAAAGACATCCTACTGCCGGTCTTTTGCAGACCGAAACAAACGAGGACGGCTCCGTGTGCGTGCGCATGCCAGTTACAGCGAAGCAGATAATGCTCCGGAGCTGTGTGCTTCGGAACACGGGCTCGGTGACAGGCTTGGTGGTGTTTACTGGACACGAAACTAAGGTGTTTTGCAGCAACACCGAGCCCGTGGTGAAGACCTCATCAGTCGAGAGACGATTGAATCGGCTCATTGTCGGTATTGTTTTTATCCAGCAGCTCATTTGTTTTCTGGGTGCACTGCTCGGTGCTCGCTGGACGCATACAAATGGAGACTCGCCCTGGTATCTTTTCAGTGCAGTTGAGCGGCGACATCACGATCTTACTGAATCTGCTCCTGACCCTCTGGCTGAGCTCGCGAAGTTGCACCTGCGGTACTTCATCATCATGCAAAACTTTGTCCCTATATCGCTGAATGTATCACTGGAGTTTGTCAAGTACTGGCAAGCGTACTTTATTGAGCAGGACCTCGAGATGTACGACAAGCCTTCTAATACGCCGGCTATAGTTCGGTCCTCGGCACTCAATGAAGATCTTGGCCGCGTGCATCATGTCTTTACAGACAAGACTGGTACCCTCACGATGAACCTCATGCTTTTTCGTTACTGTATGGTGGGTGGAAAGCATTACGGTGGTCAGATGGACGACAAAGGTATGGTGGCGGATGCTCCCAGTGAAACATCGTCGATAACGGGTGGTGCCTCGAAAGATGGTCCCAGGTACGTAGATTTCGACCCTACCGAACTCTTTGCTGATATTCGTGCGGGAGGCGAGCAGGCAGAAACTCTTCGGCACTTTTTACGGCATCTGGCATTGTGCCATACGCTAATTCCGACTAAATCTCTCGCAGAAATGTGCAGAACGCCCTTTCCGGAATACTCTGCATCGTCACCTGACGAGCAAGCATTGGTGTCTGCCGCGGCATTCTGCAACGTGCGCTTTGTGCACAGAACTCCTGATGCCCTAATGCTGCTGGAACCGGGATTGGTAGCACCTTGCCAATACAAATTACTGAACGTGCTCGAGTTTGATAGCGATCGCAAGCGCATGACAGTGATTGTAGAAACTCCCGATGGAGCGATTGAACTCCTTTGCAAAGGCGCAGACAATGTCATTTTCGAGCGCCTTGCTGTCGATTACGCGACATTGCGCGGTCGCACGGCCCACGAGCGAGCGGTCGATCAACTTACTCTGTATGCAAAATCTGGAATGCGTACACTTTGCCTCGCGTATAGAGCCATCGATCGCTGTGAGTATGATGACTGGAATGCTCGTTTTACACAGGCGCATACTTCCATGGAGGAGCTAGTGAAGCGGCGCCAAGGTCGTCCGAATGCAATTGACCCACTCATGAACGAAGTGGAGCGCGACTTAGTACTCTTGGGAATCACAGCTATCCAAGACAAACTACAGGCTGGTGTGCCTGCGACGCTACGTCTCCTGCAAGAGACGAACATTAAGGTTTGGACACTGACTGGTGACAAGATGGAGACGGCTGTGAACATTGGGTACGCCAGTGCGCTTCTTTCTCACGATATGGACGTACACCGAATCGGCGGGGGCGACCCCACGTCGGCTGCTGCTGCACTACAAGAGTTAGCTGGGCGTTCAGATCTCGGGCCATTATCGCGTCATCAATCGCCGTTCATGGCCGCGTCGTATGATACTGATCTAGGAGCCGATGAAGTATCAAGTACTCAGCGTCACCTTCGTGATAGTCCACGTCAAACTCCAACCGACTCAAGCAGCTTTTTGGGCTACGCGAAAATGTTACTGAACAAGTCACTTTGTAGTGCGCCGACGGACAAAAAGACAAAGCACCGGCGGAAGCGAAGCCGAATGCGTCGAGCATCAACGACTTCTTTTGCGCTTGGCGGACGCTCGATGTATTCATCAGTCGCAACTGACGCAGAGGTCGCTGACACGTTTGTATCGGATGAACAGTCATTGTACGACGTTGCGATTGAGGCTGATAACGAAACGATTCATACACCTGAATATGGATCTCTCGCTGCCAACGTGCAAAGTAAAAATGGTCGCCGGAACAGACTCGCCCCGCAAAAGCTAGCACTTGTGATCGACGGACAGGCTCTTGACTTTGTTCTTCGCCCTCCGTTGCGTAGCCTGTTTTACCAAGTTACGCGGCAGTGCGCGTCAGCAGTAATTTGCTGCCGCGTTTCTCCCAAGCAAAAGGCTGACATCGTCAAGTTTGTACGCGAATTCGAGCCCGAGAGCGTGACGCTTGCCATCGGAGACGGAGCGAATGACGTGGCAATGATCCAAGAAGCCCATATCGGTGTAGGTATATCTGGCCAGGAAGGAGCCCAGGCTGTGAATGCGTCGGACTATGCACTGGCACAATTCCGCTTCTTGCAGCGACTTCTGTTTGTGCACGGCCGGTGGGCCTACCGACGAGTGGCCAAACTTATGAGCTATATGCTTTACAAGAACGTGACATATGTGCTCACTACCTTCTGGTTTGGATGCTTTTGCGGGTTTTCAGGTCAGCCGCTTATCCTGGATGCAGCTGCACAAAGCTTCAATGTGCTCTACACAAGTGTACCATTGGTGCTTTTTGCTGTCTTCGACCAAGACATATCGTCGTTGAGTGCCTCCAAGTTTCCGTACCTATACACGCTTGGCCAGAAAAACGTGTTGCTGGCACGTCGCGTGTTCTGGCCGTGGATATTGAATGGTGTTTGGCATTCTATCGTAATCTTCTTCGTCTCTGTTTGGGCGTTTGCGGGTTTCGGTCCAAGCACCCGCGATTTTCCTGTCATTGCAACGGAGACAGGAAAAGATGGTGGGCTGGTCACCGTGGGATTTGTGGTGTTTACAAATCTTGTGGTTGTTGTCAACGCGAAGCTGTGTCTCGAAACGTTCATGTTGACGTGGCAGTTCCTTTGTACAGTAATCGCGTCCGTGCTTTTATGGTTTGGAGTTGGATTCGTGATTTCGCTGCCAAGCACTGGATTTCCACAAGCTACTGGCGAAATGGAGTACCTCCAAAAAACACCGACCTTCTGGCTCGTGTGTTTCCTTGTGTTGTCACTGAGCCTTTCGAGAGACGGTCTCTGGAAAGTCATGCGCCGGTTTCTACTGCCCTCCATGCATCACATTCTCCAGGAACGAGAGTTCATGGGCTTACCGAACTCGCCCCGGAGCATGCTGCTCGAGCTCCGTCGATCGACGTCGGATGCGGTAAGGTCTGATGTGCCACGGGCGACCAGACCGGACGAAAGTCTGATGCGGTCATCCCCGCTTGGTGAGAGGTTGATCGCATCCCCTTTTTCCGAACAATCCGGTGACAGGGACACGATTGGCCTCGATCATGCTGCAGGACAGTTTCAGGTCCGAGAAAAGAAGAAGCGCAACCTACGCATTCGTGGAACACTCTGTGCCGCTGGTAGCGATGGCCGCTTGAACGCTGGAGTGGAGCCGTCGTTTTTGGCATCTCCTGGATGTGTTGCTGCGTCCTTCACGGCGGCTGCAGCTAATGGATCTCGTCCATCATTCAGTGCAGGTCATGGATATTCGTATCATGGCTACGCATTTTCGGAGGACGAGAATGTGGATAGTGGTGTCGAGGCAGCGTCTTCTACAAGCGACGTCGACCCTGCCAAGTCATTGGGGGCGCATGCGTCGATCAAGAAAGTTCTCAAGTCGGTTCGTGGTAGAAAAAATGCATGAAATGCTTAGTTAGAAAACCGGTTATTGCCTATAACTTATGATTCCAGAGACCATGGCCACCGCCGTCGGAGAGGCGATGACCGTTTTTCTTCAGGTGCATCGAGTAGGTCAGTGGGGTATCGAATGTTATGAAAAGTTTGTGCGCTGTGTAGGAGCGTCACGCGCTTCTCGACAAGGCAACCAGGCGATGGGCGGAACACATCTATAGCAGGTATGACGGGATGTATAGCACTCACCCAGTCAACGACTTTGGGGCGAAGCAAACAAGAACATTCGGAGCTGCATGAGGTGTAATTATCAATCGATCTGCTCTGGTCCAGGCAGAGAAGGGCAACGATCATTTCATTTGTAGTCATTCTGCACAATTAAGCGTCCTACAGAATGACTACATTGAAACATCCGCTGAAAAAGTATTGTGCATCCTCCCTGCTGTCTTCAAATTGATCTCGACGCTAGTGGGTCAATACAATCACCGGCAGCTAACGGTCGCTGAAAGCGTTGTACTCGTAGTAGTATTTCAGTTGTAGCGAGTCCACACATGGTACTCGGCTGTAAAATCGCAGACCACGCACAAGCAATAGACCCCGTCTACGACTTTTCTGCTGACATCTAGCGTTGCTATTCACTTAACAGCATGTCGCCAGTCCTCACAAACAAGGTTGTGATCGCATGTTCGGCACATGCCCGAGCTCTCATTTGCGATGTTCAAAGCCCATCTGCGTACCTACGCTGTGACTTACAAAGAGACGGCTGCTATTAAACACGAGCTCAGGGTACACTCACCGGACTACACCAAAGTGAAGAAATGTAGCAGCTCCTGGTGAGCTGCTGACACCTCTTCATGGAGACTGTGCAGACGTCCAAATGCGCTTGTTTCACAATGTAACAAAGCGCTTTGTGTCATTTGCCAACTCGTAAGGTTGTCTCCTCCTCTATCGCTTCACATAGACTGCCATTAGTCAGCACTTCAATGTCACGTTGAAGTGCTGAATAGAAACGACGTTTTGGACTGCGACATTCCGTTTCTATCCAAGGGCAACCAGCGACGCGCATTTCGTCATTCAGGCGTACGTGTCGTTTTGGTGCGAACGAATCTCGATTCTGCATCACACTGTCGCCACAACCTGCGGCTGAAATACCACGAGTGCTGATGTCGACGATGCATTTGAAGCTAATCAGCACCTGCATTATCTCCGCATCCCAGGGCTTTGCTGTGTTGAAGACCTACACCTCTCCACATCTATCGATCACGGGAGATTCAGCTTGTGCTGAAGATTCGGGTCTTTGCGAGAATACCGGTTGTCTACCGATACCATTGGTGTCCCGTATGCGTGTCTGGCTGTTTTCTTCAGCGCTCACCAGCAGTTTCGACGACGCGAGAGGCCCTGCGAGTCAGGTAATTGTGGGTGGACCTAAAGGACGTCTTATCTGACTATCATAGCCAGGCACTTCTATCGCCTTTGCAACCAGATGATATTGCCTCCTTCCTGCCAACTGTCGCCTCTACAGCCACATAGGTCGGAATGAGTCGTCTAGTTGCAGTGCTGTATGTATCTCGCAGATTCAATTCCCAAGACGCATTTCTATCGGCACTTCTCATCGTTGCATGCATGATATCACCCTCGTACGTGACGGAAGATGGTAATACTTCGGTCCATGCTCGCTGGACCGGTTAACGCTCTGGACTACAATCTAATTCGCTAAAATCTGGGATCTCTGAGTGATGTTATTCGCTGAAAACTTCCAGCAGCTTTACATAGCGCCACAATTGGCTAGAACCTGTGCACATGCGCCACTGTGGTCAGATGGTAGGGTTAGAGCGGCAAACCTCCAATATCCGGTTTTTAGTCAGGTGCTCTCTCAGTAGAGAATTTACGCCGTAGTAGGTAAGTCGAAGAGAGACTAACTATTTCACTACCGCGCACGTCAACCGGTACGGAATATTGAGACCAGACGCTACTCGGGGTCGGACTAACGACTAACGCTGTGGTGTCTCTTTCGTGCTGTGTCTCTTCACCTTAGTGCATTTTATCGTAAGCCTATTGCTCAGAAGGAGATAGTTCTTCACCCACCACAAAACAAGTTCGCACACGCTTAACAAGGCTTTTTGTGCACGAGCTCGTATTTTCTGTTCCCCGTATCCACACACAAAGACGAGTGGCAAGCGGCGTGTTGTGCCTGTGTATTTTTTCTGTGTGTGCGTCACTTGCTGCTTCGTTGCGCTTGCGGTACCTTCAACAAACTAAAGGGAAAGGAGCCGTCGCTTGGCTTGGCTGTTGCTAGTAGCTTCACGCACTTTAAACACACACCGCTGACACCCACGTACCCATCCACACGCACGCTCCCACGCACGTACAGCGTTCATAGGTTTCGTAGGTAGTTTTGACTGAAGCTACTGAACGACGACACCGTGGAGACGACAGCTGAGACCCAGTCGAGCGAGTCAGAGCAAGCGATAGGTGTGGGCTGAGAAAGGCTGTGTCATACCGACAAGCACTGCCGCTCCAAAGAGAGAGAGAGAGAGATCAAAAGCAAATGACAGCGGAGGGCATGTGTGCCAAACGACGAACCACTTACCAGAACATGCACGAGATTGTCAAGTTGGCCAAGAAGTACTCACCTAAGCTCGTGAAAGGCTACAGTGCAGGCAACATTTCTGTGGTGGATAAGAAGAGTTGGTTGGAAGTCTGCGACCGTAAGCACCGGTACGTTTTGTCACGTCGTTGAACCTTGACATCGATTGCGTTGACTGACGCGTTGTTGATGAGATAGGTACGGCGCCAACCTGCGGGCATACTATAAAGAATGGAAACGGCAACCCATGGAGCCTATGAAGCCAAGTTTCTGGGAGTGGCTGGACGATGAATCAATTGAAGTAGCTGGTGTCCCGCGAACGAAGCTCGAGCGAGAGACTGTTCTCTATTGTGACACAGCCGCAGAGCGCCAAAAGTTTGCGCTGTCAGTGCAGAACGGCGTAATTGTGCGTGATTTTGGACAAGAAATCGTGGAAACAGGGCCGGATGGATGGATTTTTGTTCTGCGCGATGGCGTTCTCTATGGCTGTCAGAAGGAGACGAAGAAGATTCCTCGGATTCACCACACGAGCTTTGTTGGCGGAGAATGTGTGCAGACGGCCGGTATGATGGTGATCACTGAAGGGGTGATTAAGACTATTTTCCCGCATAGTGGTCATTACCGGCCGTCCGAGTACGAGTTACTAGTGCTATTGCGCTTTCTAGTCAAGAATGGTGTGGATCTGAGCGCCGTCGATGTCGACGTACAGCGGATCCAGAAGGTCTACCGTGAATCGGTGAACGGTACCCTTGTACGGAAGTTGGACAATGCACATTTCTGGAACGCGTACCGTGTATGGTACTTCTTGGAAGAGAAGCATCTTGCGTGGAAAATTGGCTTGTTCGACGAGCTTGTTGAGACGGTAGGTAAGATGACGGATACGCACGTGTTGCTCGAGCGAGCTGAAATCTTGGGCGAAAGTACTGTAAAGGAGATGAACGATGATGCGTCTGAGAAATCGTTTCATGACGGCAGATCTCGTGCGTTTTCTCTTTTGCATCCTGCTTACGACTGTTCGACTTGCGAAGGTGTGGTGAAGTAGCTGGTTCATGCATTCTGCAACAGCACAGTGCTTGGCCGCTGCCACCCGGAAGACAGTTTGCTTTCTTGCGCCAAGACACCACCATCGTTACCGCTCTTCGGGCGGCGCGGATACAAAACATCCATCGAGCAGATATCATGTAACCTAGATAACTAGAGGCTTGGATGGTCTCTAGTGTATGGTACTTATCATATTGATAGTTAGTAAGCAGCAGGGAAAACGACGTCCGGCATCCACACGGATGCGTCTGGTTTCTAATTGATGAATCGAGTTGGTTTCGCCCGTTCGCGTTCTTCTGCATGCATGGTCGACAGCAGTCTTCGTCCAACGCGACGGACGACTGACACCTGTCGACCGTCGAGATGTGTATGGTCAGATTCTCAGTAGTAAGATCTCGTCTGTGCTATGTGCGGTCATCGTACGTACGGGCGGCTTGTGTGGTCGTCTACGTGTGCGACGCGTGGCACTTCAAGCTCCCGCTTGGCTCTATTCTCTCGTGATTTTCTTACAACTACCTCGCCACGCAGACCCTCTGGTGGCCGGCGGTTAGACGTCTGGTCGAAGCAACAGTGGAAAGGCCAAGACGCTTCAATGACTGAACACACGAAATCGGTGTCGATGGGACCGTAAGGTGCTGTTGAAGCAGTCGCGCCGTGTCAGAATTTCAGGCTCTGTTGAATGTTATTCCCTGAAGATCGCTGTAGGATACGACATCGATAGTCAGTGCAATGTTGCGTTTGGATGATGACGAGCTCATCTTCAGCGCCCTGTACTTTTCTCCACTGAGATTCGTGACCTGCTATAACGCGTGGCGTTATGGTTTGCACGATTTTGCGCAACACTTTCGTGTTCATGTCTGACGAGAAAGTGGCAGAAAGACGCATGGATAAGTGACGTGTGTTGCGTGTCCTGTGATGAGGTTATGGTAACAAGAGTCCGGCAGCGTGAAATAGCATTGCAGATGCTGGATCTACTTTAACGACTTTACGTGCAGTAGGGGGGAACCGCTTCGTCACGTGTCGGTTACGCGGCTTTCACTGAAGGTGAAACACAGCAGTCAAGTAAATACCGCGCGTTTATTCGTGCGGCGACTCGAAGAGTAGTCCCGGATTCGTGTTTTCTCATCCTGAACCACTACTTTTCGCTCGCCAAGTGTCAGCAGCATCCAAGGTTCACACTACATGGTATCGTACTGTATCACCCACCTCCTCTGCAACATCACGACGTGTATTGCAAATGCATCAGTTCTTTCGACACAACGCAACTTGACTGCAGATAAAGCAAGTTCACCTTCCTGGCTCAACGACAGCTCCGCAACTAAATAGCCCTAGCTGAACATCTGCACCGTGCATTCCATAAGACAGGTTTACTTGAACGCGAGCATAAAATCCCTCGATTACTCCTTTGCCTTCTGAGCGCTCGAGACCTGAATACGTGACCAAAAAGGAGCTCAGTCGTGGTAACAGAAGCTGAGTAGGAAAAGTGGATAGAATATGGGCACAACGGACGACACGTAAGTGAGGAACTCACGCGACAAATGCTGCAACATTGCACTGAGCTGAATGGGGCGAAGTCTAAGGATGCTCGTTCAGTTGTAAGTCGAGACAGTTTTGAGAGCGCAAGGTCGATCCTGCCAACATCCTCGGTGATCAGGCCCCTCTCATGGTCCAGCAAAGTCAGCAAAGTATTGGCAACCAAGCCAAGAACTTCAGGTGTTTGAATCGTGAAGAATCGAGAAAACACACGAGTGACTGGCAAATACGTAGAAGAGAGTGAGCACCCACTTCCTCCACATCTCGGCATTACTTACTACCGCTGACCAAAGTGTAGCACGCACGGCCTTTGCCAGATCCCATTGTGTCTCTCCTTCTCTTTACAATAACGTGCTCTCAAGATGACGGTCGTCAAGTCAAGATCAGTGAACCAACACACTTAGTCGACCGTGGCCATAGCAACGTCTTGCTCCGTAAACTTGCCCTTCTCAGTCTCGCTCACAGCACGGTTCTTGCGCTCCAAAATCTTCTTACGGTCCTTGTCAAGCTTTAACTTGGTAATAACGACCTTGGAAGCATCCACGCCAATGGGCACCGAGGCGCCGTTGGCCTTCTCGCGCACCACGCGCTCGACGTGAATGACGAACTTCTTGCGATACACAGCAGTCACACGTCCCTCACGGGACTTCTGCGAGCCACGGACGATCATGACTTCGTCCTCCTTGCGGATCGGCATGCTACGAACCTGGAGTCAGCACATTGTCACCGCAGAAGATAGAGAGGACAGTAATGATAAGCTCCAAGGTCACTCACTCCTCACAAGAGCTCGTCGGTGGACAGATAGCAGCTTGTCGTCTGTCTCGACACTTACAGATCCCGCGATGCCATGAAGTGCCAGTCTGTCTCCACTACAGAGACAGAGTCTGACATGGACTTACAGCGCTGAAAGTACCAGTGTACTAACTTACATTGTACTTGCTCTGCAGCTCCTTGGACAGAGGCGCGCTCATGAGCACGCGCCGCTGGGTCGAGTGGGCGCCAAAGTGCGCCTTGCGGCTCTTGCGGCGCGACGAAGACACGGTCGAGTTGAACTTCACTGTAGATGGACGAGACGCATTGAGTCACACGAGTTAGTGCATGAAAAGCCATGAAAGACGATGAGTAGGGGCAGAAGCAGCAATTAGCAGCGACGTACTCTTGCTATCACGTGAGAAAAGAGATACTGACTGCTCCATGGGCGAGAGCGCTGGAAGCCAACCGAGGTCGACCAGGACGGTTCAGCGAAGCGGTTAAGCGGTGCAGGAGAAAGGAGGACCGTGGTAGCTTGGAATACAATGTTAGCTGGAATCAATAATTGCTCGGATATTGTACCGAAATTATATTGTCGCAAGAAAATGTTCGACAATATTTCTTTTCATCCAGCTTGTCCTGAATAGCCGTTTAAACGATTTAATTTGAACGAATTGCGTCTAGCGAATGCGTTCTATTTTTAGAATATCATCCATTGAGTTGCAAAAACCGTGGGCTAACGTCCCGATAGAGCGATTTGACTCATCAGTCCGCCCTACTGGTGTGCAAAGTCAACAGCATACGGTGACCATTTGAGCCGTGTCTTATTATCACCGATTCGAATCAATAATCATGTCTATGAACGGGCTCACTTCAGTTTTCACAGCAATTGATCCAAGCCCATCGACCAACCAACTTGACATCAAAATGGCAGACGACAGCCTCCCAGTATGAACTACACGGACCGTTATGGCATAGGGGTCTTGCGGGGAGTCTGCTGACCATTTTGGGCCGACCGACTCGTATTGCGAACCTTCGACGGTACCGCTAGCTTGTGCTCGAGGGCGTGCTGATCAGAGCATCAGCAAACACGATCGATTGGTCAGGTATTCAGCAGTAACGAACAACAGACAGGATGACACTTACCTCAATAAAGAGCATCGCAGGCTTGTTGTCCGTCCGCACACTACAGATCTCTAGAATGTCGCTGGCGCTAGGTCGCTTCAAGGCGTCAGGGTGCATCATCTTCACGTTGCCATCACATATTAGCAGCGATAACGGCGGTAACTGCAATTACAACACGTGCGTACCTGCCGAACCGTTTCGCTGAGCTTCTTGCTGTATGTTGAAGGAAAACAAGGGAGTTCACCTTCTCGAAGATTGTGCCACTCTTTTCCAGCTTCAGGCAGCGCTACTTGAGTAGCGATCTCCAGCAGCGTGATACCTTTGCACCAGAACGAGTGGACGTAAGTACCAGCTCCGTTGACAGAACACTACAACCATTCAGCGTACCTAGACAGAATATATCTGCTGATGGGAGTCGAGCGGCGCTCGTCAGCAGCTCCTTTGCGATGTACTTCGCATCGCCTTCGAGGTCTCCAATTCCGCCCGATGATGAGTCTGCCAATGCCGTCACATTGCCTGCCATACCGAAATCACCAATCTTCAGCTTCCCATCTTCAGTGATAAATATGTTGTCAGGCTTGATGTCGAGGTGAACAATGTCGTGCTCGTGAAGGACATGCAGCCCGGTTGCGATGTCCTGGAGTATAATCCACAAATAGTTTTCGGGGAGTGCATCTCGACTTTTTCGTTTCGTCATGAAATCTTGCAGCGTGCCGCCTTCGCACAGCTCCATTTGCAAGAAGAAAAAACCTGCGTTCGGCACGCACAACTTAGCAAACCTCTCACGACCAAGCAAACGCTCCTTCCAAAAGGACGTGGCAATACCATTCTCTTGCCAAGCTTGATACGGCCGCACGATATGGTCGAAATAGCGCCGAGAAGTGTGCAGCTTTTGTAGAGCAACTATTTCTCGTGTTCGGAGGTCTCTGTTGATGAAAGCAAGTTCACATTCACCATCATAATCGTGAGACTGTTGTCGACGGCACTTGCAAAAGCATCATCATCAGTGGCACTCGCCGAACCGTTCTTGCTTGTTGCGTAGCTCTTGCTTTGACTTCTTGATAGCAAACACTTCTCCACTCTTCTGGTCTCGGACCTGCATCTCGACAAACCATATACAAGCACGTCAACCATCATCATCGTCCAAAACTGATTTACACAATGAGCAATACCTTGTACACTTCCGCCGACACGCCTGCTCCAAGCCATCGGATGGTCTGCAAATCATCGTACGTCGTAACAAAGTGACTCTGTATGATACGACCGTGTGTAATCAGTCCACTTTAAGAACCCAGCCTTCTATCCGAACAACACCGACAAAAGACTCACCGGCCAGTCCACAACAACGAGCCGTTGCAGCACCATCTTCACTTGTAAACGCATCCGAGTTACGACCGGACTCTTCATAGACAGCTTCGATCCAAGGCTGCCGCTCAGCAACGTCGCAGGACTGGCACACGGGGGAGAAGCCAAGCGACCACTGCATCTACTCTCCGCCACAACACCAGCACTATCATCAGCCTCACTCCTTTAACACAATACACAATCACCCTCTTATAGCAACACACTTTCGAACAAACGCGTCTCGTCCGTGCGGCGTCAGTAGGTGCTTCTTTCTATGGGATCGCTGCGGTACCGTCTTACGAGGTGACGGCTGCACACGTCGACCATGTGACTTGTCTGTACCCTCAGTCACATCCAGCCGCTCTGTCCGTCGAGATCGACAGCGACTAGGGTCTTGAGGAGGCACGACGTCCTTGCTGTCCACTGAGGTATCGTCACTGCTGCTGTTCCTGTTGCGCTTGTGGTTCTTCTGCTCTTCTCCTGCCTCCTTCGCGTCACCTTTGCCATCAACATCATCATCATCATCATCTTCTTCTTCTTCACTGCTACTGCTCATAAAGCTCAGCGTCGTGTTGACAAGCGGAGACGAGGCGTCGTCCATCGCGGCATGCAGTGAGCGTGACGACAGCACCATGGTTGCTCGTCTGAGTAGCGCCGACCTGGGTTCATCGACGTTCTTTTCAGCCAATTAGATGCAACGTAGATGGATGCCTGTACCTTACAGGCTAAAATACAAAACACCACCTGCCAAGTGTAGCCACATCGAAGAAACTCGACAGCTTGGGTCAGAGAGCGAGCGATGCTGGGTAAGGTCGCGCACTGGCTGGCCAATCGACACGAGGCGAAGCGTAGCGCAAGCGACGCGTCTGTACAGCAGCACTACAACGCTCTTGTACGGTCTACGGCTTCTGTACAGACTGACGGCGTGTGATTGGATCGAGTCGTTGATCCTTCTCTCTCTCTCTCTCTTTGTTCTGGTTGTTCTTGTGCGCTACAGTCCCGACTCAAGAAAGCCACGACGGCAGTTGTACGCAAAGGAAATGCAGCTGAGAAAAAGAGTGGAGGCAGTCAAGACCCAAGGGCTCGTGCTCGGGATGTCGCGCTGCCTCGAGAGCAGCGTCAGCCACTGACAGAGCGCGATCTTTGTGTCGCCGAGCTCTGTACGTGAGTGGGAATGATTTGTAGTAGGATAATTGCTATTGCGGGATACGAGACTGAACTTTGCGTGTGCCGGTGAGGTGTTTGGTAGGCACGGCATTGGACGAGTGTCTAGTGATGGGGATCAAGCCGCGAGGTGGTGAGAAACAGCAGCAGCCGTCCTGGTGGCACGTGCTGTATGCCAGTACGCTCATTGTGGACGAGCCCACGCTTGTGCAGAGTGTAGTGTCTGCTGCGTTCCTAGCGGAGGTGTGATGACTGGTGGTTGCAACGAGCGTTGTTGTTGCTTCAAGTCGATTATACTGATGATGTAGTTGCTATTTGTTCGGTAGACTGATGCAGGAAAGGCTCGCTGCTGGCTGAAGATCGCGCTGAACAATCACACGATTGAGTCGAGCATTATGGTAAGCACGAACAACTTGCGCGTTCATACTCCTGCAAGCTGCTGATGGGGATCTTGTTTGTTGACATTGCTGGGCGGCTGCTAGATGATCTTTTCTATGCCTTGCGAGCACTTGATCCGCAGCAGCTACGACGAAAAGTCGCTGGTTCGGTGCTCTGAAGGTCTGGGTGTCTTCCTAGAGCTTGTTATCGCTCTTCGGGAAGTGCGCTTTGCAATCGAAGTGAGCGGTGAACCGTTTCAGCGGCCGGAGACATCGAAATTACTTGATCCAGCGCCCGGACCAGAGAGGACTAGTGAGGATTTGATGTTTACTATCACGGACGCAGACATTGCTGCGGCAGTTGGGGTATCGCCTTCCAGAGATGGATCTCTCCCTGAGACCGATTCAGTATCCACCGAAATCAAAGACAGTAGAAATGAGACCCAAGAAGCCGCGAGTGTAACGGAGAATGAACAGGAAAAGGATGTTCCGTCACTATCGCACCAACTGAAGGATACAGTCCCGTGGCAGCACGTGTTCGGCGTTAGTTTGGCATTGCTGTGTCAAAACCCACATCACAGCCGCTATGCGCTGATTGATCCACTGCTAGCGCTCCCCAATGTTGTGGACGACTGTGTGGCGGTAGTGAGACGAAAGCCCGATACTCCAAGATTGTTGCGTGCGACCGTTTTAAGCATTCGCTTGAATCAGCTTCGAGAAGTCGTGGAGACTGAAGGGTCGCTACCACAAGATCTGGACCCACAATGTGCATCAGCGTTGCTCTTAGATTTTTTGAAGAACCTACCAGACTCCTTGTTGACGGATGGTAAGTACGAGGCATTTGTGGCAGCGGGACAATTGAATGATGAAGACGCGAGTGTGCACGTGATTACGGGTTTAGTGAACGACTTGCCCGTGCACTGCCAGATTGTGCTGAACCAGGTAGCCAGCTTGATGCACTTCCTGCAACAGCCCGATCATTCCGTGAATAATGGCGTGGACGTTTTCACAGCGTCAACTGTTCTTGCCCCGGCCATAGCTTTTCGGAAAGAAACAGAAAGAGGTTTGCTGCCTGATCACTTGCATGCTAGTACGCATTCACAGTATCAAGATCTCCGATATGCTGCAGTAGCCGCTCCATTGGCTGAGCGAATGATACAGCACTATGCAACCATTTTCCACTCCATTCAGGTACGACTTGTCGATGCGGTCGAGCGAGTGGATGCCAAAAAGAGAGCGCTATGCATGGTGTCACATCAACTGAAGCTTCAGCCGGAACTGAACGTCTCGTTGGATAGGCAGCAAGTGGACGAGATATCTCGGTTGTTCTGTGAGCATTTAGCAAGGGATGATGACGGCTCGCTGTCACCATCATTCGTATCACCCATTGGGCAAATACCGAGAAGTTCGAAGACCCAGACCCAAGCAGATATGGAGAATACGTCACATTGTTTGACTGGCAAAGTAACTGAACCGGATCTTGTACATATCTGGAACCAATTTGGATTCAACAGACCAAGTGTCTTAGCGAACTTTCAGCACGGTGGCGTGCTGATGCTGCGAGCGCTTCTGTACTGGTTGCAAAACGACCCAGGTGCATTGTTCATGCTAAGGACCCGTGCATTGCCATCTAAGCTGCCGTCTTACGACGCCGGGCTGGTAGCATCGTCTATCTGCGAGTCGCTGGTGAAGCTGTTGAATCTGTCGTACGTAGCCTAGTTTATGTTCTGTGATTGCCAAGGACCGCAAATGCTGACACAGCTGATTCCCTTGTGCTTGCAGCCTAACCTCGAAGCGTCCGGAGATTGATATCGTAGCAATGTCGTTGGAGCCTTTTTGGAAACTCTTTGACGAAGACATGTATTTCGAGAAGTTATTCTCGCTCACGTTTCAGGTGTACGATCAACTGTGGACTCAGCTTGACCCGAAGGCGACATCTTTTACTCGCGTAATGACGGAGACCGAAAAAGTTGTGAATGAATTGCTCAAGAAGGCGCCTATCCTCGTTAATGATCTTCGAGTGGAATGGGACGTGATTTCGGCGCGTCGTGCAGAAGAGGTGAATGGAGGAGAGGAGAACGAGAAGCAAGGAGAGCTGGTTGAAGGCGAAGCGCTTCCGATTGCGACTCCAATTGACCCTCTTCTTTTGTCGTCTCCTTTTCGCACTTCCAAGGAGCGATCTTCTTTCGAATTTGACTCGGATGACTATAAACTCAAGCTGCTCGATTCGTCAAGCATTTTAACATTGGAGCACATTGCACAGATTGACCACGCTTTGCCCGTTACGAGTCAATTATGCCAGTGGTTTCGGATCTACAGTTTAGAGTCGAATGGATCTTCATTGGAGACGCTCCTTTTTCTCGCAAAAAACCAAAGCCCGACGTTGTTGATTGTCAAAGACGCTGAGAAAAACGTTTTTGGTGGGTTTGCGTCGGACGAGTGGCATCACGCATTCCACTATTATGGCACAGGTGAGTCATTCTTGTTCTCCTTTGGAAACTCGAGTGGCGGCTTCGTCAAATACAAATGGAGTCGCAAAAACAGCTACTTCATGCTGTGCTCCGACACATCCTTAATTATGGGTGGTGGAGGCAACTTTGGCTTGTTCCTGGTGCGTCCAATCGTGTGTCGATACTTGTGCGGGTACTGCATGTTGACGACTAATATTGTGTGACTCGACTTGTTAGGATGGCGATTTGTCTGCTGGGACTACCGGAGCGTGCGAAACGTTCGATTCATCTCCATTATCTACTTCGCAGCAGTTTTGTTGCGTTCAATTGGAGCTGTGGGGTTTTGCATTCGGAGACAAGCCCGTTGGTCTCGGTGACCGACGAAGAACAAGTGTGTTGGACTAGCAGCAGCAGCAGCAACAACAACAGGGACTATTTAAGCTGTGCGGGCCAAAACATGACAGCGACAACTCGCATACACTCAAGAAGCAGGCAGATTCCTAGTCCGCAGTATTTATGGCGATAATGGCGATACTTCCAAACTCACTCGCCAGCAGCAGTTTGTTCTTCGAGTTGACTGCAGTGAAAGCTTGCAGCTCAATTCCGGATCGCCTCGATTGATGCATCCATACTGTACACAACAGACCCGTCCAAGACCCCGGTGCATCGCACTAGCAGCTCATTGTACACTGAGGTCACCACTCGACTTTAGCAGCAATTGACTATCGAGCTCAGCTTCGTATCTCCGAAACGGAGCTTCAACGGCTTCGCGCTGGAGGGTACGTGCATACAACAGAGCCACAAAAAGGTGATGTCAGAATAGCCGAGACACGGCATCGTGTCCAGGTTGTTGTTCCAAGATCGACACCAACCTCTTCCGGCGTGGGTGTCGCACTCGCCTGTAACTGCGGCTGTAATTGCTCCAGCTCTTGCTTAAACACTTGTCCAAACCGTTGCAGAATCCGCTGTAGAAACGCTTTGAGCGCTTCGCTTGCAGCCTCACCAGTCCGTTCGTGGAACAACACAGCCTGAATGATCTCGTTCTGGAGCGAGGTCATGACGAGACCGCCAGACGAGGTCTACATATGACCAGATGGACGAGCAGGTAGGTCAGTCCCCACTGTACTGAGCTGTACAAACGATTATCCTGTATTTACGGGCATAAAACTGCTGCTGCTCTGTCGGTCTTTCTTGTCGGTTTGACTCGGGTCAAAATGTACCTGGACGACCTCTAGAACGTTATTTTACAGCATACAGTTAGAGAGCGTATACATGTCATGCACGACGTATACACCGAGCACAGCACTGCACCTCCACCGTCAATCTCGCGCGCGAACTGCGTAAACGACATGACGAGCGCGTCGACACCTTCTGCATGCGCTTGTGGCTTCCACTTCCACTGGTGAGTGAACAGACACACGCCCGACTGCTGATGCAGCACCTTGACCATGTGCAGTTCCCCCAGTAGCGCATTCATCGTCCTGTTGTGCAAAGAGGCGACTCAAATGCGACGTCTTTTGTAAATTCGTATTTCTATCACTCTGTTTCTGATTCGACTCGGCACGAAACAATAGGCTAGAACCAAGAGGCGAGAACGAAACAGCATAGATGAGTGGAATGAAGGCCACGTATAAATTCCACGGCGAGGTGGTCCACTCGTTCGAGAGCTATCCGGACGCCACGGAAGCATCGAACGGGTATGCACTGGTGACAGGAGAAGAGAAGTCGAACCATTCGTACTCGGGTACGATGGATGGCGGCAATGCCATGCCAGAACTCAAGTCGACGGGTCCTTATGCTGCTCTTGTCATTTCTATCAAGGTGCATGAACTATCCGTGTCACGTTTCTATAAAGACAGTATAGTCAAGCGGGATGACTAACTTAACCTGCTCTTGGATACATGCGCTGCAATTGACGTTCCAGCGAGCGAAGCAGGATAGCGAACTGTTTTTCAAGGACCGCGTAGAGGGTCCCGTGCCAGCTAAACTGTACAATCAATAAACGGAGCTGCTCGCTGGATACAGCACTTCGGGAGTACCTGCGCAGGCTCTTGACTTGATTTCAACTGACGTTCAATTTAACTTTGGACAATTCAGTAGCTCCCAAAGGGTCAAACGACGATGGCAGCGCAGCTCTGAGCACTGCACACGACCAGGGGCGACTGTGCTTTGCAACTGGATGACACGCGGCGCTGTCTTTTACTGCTCGAGCTGTTCGTTGTCACTGTCGTTGCTCTCGTTCCATACCGGAAGAGGCAAGTGTTCTAGCTGGCGATACGACCGGTCCAAGGCTTTATGTCGCTTCTTGTACCGGCGCTTGATGAGAGGTGCCGACGTCCAGAAAATCCGCTTGAGACTTGGAAGTTGTGGCGCTGTGTGCGTGCGTAGGTGGCGCCCTGCGGAATCCGACGAGCAGCGAGTCGTACCTCCAGCAGTGAGCTCTGTCTTGGACGTCTCCGAAGCTTGTTGAGGATGCTTGGGATTCGTGCACTCGGAGCAAAACCACGGTATTCCACCAGGAGGTACAATGGCAAGATTGGTGCAGTTGAGGTGGAATGCGGCGGGACAGCCATCACAGCATATCAGTTCGCCTGCTAGACCGCATCGAAAACAAGCGTCTTCGTTCAAGTCATTCTGCAAATGGCAAGAAGTATACACACACACACATCGGGTTTGTCAGCGAGCCGTGCCGTGCCGAGCAAGTACGTCCACTCATTTGAACTCGTACCTGGTCGGTGTTGATGAAGATCTCTGTGCCTTTTACACGATCAATGAGACGATGGATGCGGTCGGGGTCGATCGTACTGGATGACGGAATACGTTTGTTCCACCTGGACGTGCCTTTTGCAAAAGCTGCGAGCTCACGCATTCCACGTGCCCGTGCCTGAGGGAGGCTTAAGCGTCGGCAGATGAGCTTTGTCTCCAACGAAACGCGAGTCGTACACGAGAGTAGTGGCGCCACCTTCTTAGGACGACCACGCCTTTTTGGTGGACGCCCTCGGCCCCGCTTTTTTACCAGCAAAGGTATCGCAAGCTCTGCACTGCGGTGTGTCGTGAGATCCGCTGTCCAGTCACGCTTACCTCCGCAAATAAAGCTCTGGAGTGCCCTCATCTCAGGCAGATGCTGTCCTGCTATAACTCTATCATACCAGCTGCGTTTAGGTGGCTTCTCTTCCATGACGTTGCTTGGAATCAGCTGTGGCGGTGTCAGCGATACGTCCTCTTCTGTCGTCGTCGAGCAGACCGAAGCTGGACTACTTGATGACAGACTTTGTCGGCCCTCACTCTCGTCCACGATGTCGTCACTGTCTACCTTCTTAGGCTGGTGTGTCTTGTGACAGAGGAATAGTCGACGATTTTTAAACCCGTACGATTCCAACCAGCTGTCATCCAGCTGCGAACTTTTGAGCAGCGCCAGCGACGACAAGTGCACCGGCCGCTTCAGCTCGGGTGGCTCCTCGTATTCTTGCTTCTTAGCCTTCGCTGTACCCACAGTACGATAATTGAACATGGGAAGTTTCGACCGCTTGAGACCAATCGTGCCTGTGCAGGCTGTAGATCCGCATTTACACTCGGCAGCTTCCCCAAAGTGTGAAAAGTTGTAGTTGATTGTGATCTCTTCGTCGACAGCGATACTGCGACGCGCGAAAATCCCGATACGTTGCATGCCATCTACATTCCTGTTTTCAACACATACCTCCGTCAGCACCAGCCATTGCGCGGGTCGACCGAAAGCGTGCCTTAGCACGAAGAACGTACCACTTTTGTGTGACGCTGTTTGGGTCACAGCTATGGTTGATGAAACGCGACTCGTTGCTTCGGTACTTTGCGTCAATCACGGTGTTCTTTTCTAGCTCCATCATGTAGAAATTAACCTCCACAACGCAATGCAACAACCTTAGTACACATCAGAGAAAGCCACAAGTTGGACGCATTCTTCCCACAACAGCACTCACCTCGCCGTTGTCCCTGTACTTGATCATCCTCCGTTCACACTCCTCGTCATCAATGACTTCACCGACGTATTCAATAATGAACTCGCCCAAGCGAATGGTCTCATTGGCAACGAGTCCGAAGCCAGGACCTGGGATGTACTCTATTCGTACCGACTTGATGGCTCGCCTCTTAATCGCCCGATTGCTGCACATCCCCGGGTCCGGAGCCGAGCACGTATCATCGGAGCAACTCACAAAGAGCATCCGGTTGTAACACCCTTCTCCGCAGTACCCCGTCGTCTCCATCTCTTGCCGCTTCTCCAAGTCAGCATGCCGCGTCAATCGACAGTCCGTCTGCTGTTGCCCACGAACTTGCTTCTGCGCCCGAACACTTGCCATCACCGTCGTCCGCTTCGTCATGGACTTGTGGATCTCTTCATAGCACGTGCACTTGTGCACGGGAAAGTCCGCGACCGGCATCTTGGTCGACACGTAGACACAGCGACTGATCTTCCCAAAAGGCGGGGGCCGCCGCACCCACGGCCGTTCCTCGAGAGTCTTGATCTCGAGTGCTTTAAAGGGCAGTTGGAACGCCCCCACGTCTCGCTCGCGCGACAACTTGATCGAGCCCCGTCGTTTCGTCAGCACCGGCAAAGGTCGTGACAAACGGTGCAGGTCCGTCTCCAGGAGGTGCAAGAACGTCACGACTTCGGGGTCGAGAGGAGCCAGTACTGGCTCCTCGGTCCTCAAATCGGACGGGAGGAGCTCCCTGCTCGCTGGTTGCGTCGTCGGTTGTTCCGGTGGCCGGCGACACTCGCGCTTGCCACTCTCCTTGGTCAATTTATGGGTTCGAGACATTGGCCATCCACTTGGTGCCCAGTACTAGGATCCAGTCGATATCTCTCTCGAGAGAGAGACGAGGATCGGCGACCACGGTTTTGGTTGATTGGCGACTGCTGTACGGAGGTTCGTTGGGAGTTTCAAAATCGCCCGCGGACTCACGTGACTAGCGTTTTGTATGGAAAACGGACCGCAAAAACAACGGTGGCGGGGTTCTGTGTGTGTGTAGAGAGAGAGAGAGGTAAATAAAAGCGTTTGACGGCAATAGAAGTCGGGTGAGCGAGTCTTTCGTTCGTTCGACCTTTTTGTAGAGCAAACGTGATGACACAGACCTTTGTCGACAATAACGACAAAAAGCTGAACCGGCAGTACCCGTAGAGTATCAAAGATCGATAGAGCGTGTCATGACGCTTTAGAGCTGCGTTTCTCGAGTACTGACCTCGTCGAATACAGCAGCAAGTGTCTTCACTGCATCCAAATCGGAAAAGTCCACTTGCGCCTTCTTGAGCACGCTTCGGATATACAGACGGCACGAGCAGAGCGCCTTCTTCGTCCCTTCCGTCAGATAATCCTGAGCCAATCGACAAGCTGCTACACAGAGCTCGTTGACTTTCAGCTCCTCACGCTCCCAGCCAGCAACTTGCAAGGCGCGGCACTGCTTCAACCGGCAGTCGCGAGCCTTGTCGGCTCGATTCTCGACGCCGTCATTGAAGTGTGCATACACCTGCCACACCTTGGCATCGTTTGTTACAATGGACGTCACGCGGCCAAAGAGCATCGCCAGCTGCTTCTTGTAGTGAGAATCAGACCGCGGAGGAGTCATGTCCGTGGCTGCTGACACCTCATCAAGCTCCGTCAAGTCGTCGTCATCGTCCACTTGTTCGGACACATCCTTCTTAGTAGCCACTTGTTCCATCACGCCCACTTCGCTGTCAACTTCCTGCTCCATTGACCTGAGGGAGTCCGGATACACTATAGCTTCCACCAACCACGCCAGCATCTCACTATCAACTGGACGCTTGTGCTTGGCGCGCATGTCCAAGAGCTGGTGCATGGCGTACATAGCTTCGCCGTAGCGCTTTGTTCTCATAGCACAAAGCGCAAAGTTCTCCCACATCTGCCACATATGACGCTTTTGTTTCAGTGCTTCTTCCAGCACGGCGAAAGCTTCCCCGTAACTATGGTTGTGCATGTGGATGGAGCCTAAATTGCCCCACGCTTCACCATTGTCCGGCTCCAGCTGCACCACGCGTGTAAACGCGCGCATGGCGAGTGGCCAGCGATGCACACGCATTGCGATCGCACCAAGAGTGAACCAAGCGCCAGTATGCATGGGACCGACATGCACTGCATCCTTGTAATGGGAAATTGCTACTTCATGGTCGCCTTTATCGAAGTAGTAGCGTCCGAGTGAACGCTTTGCACGGGCAAACCGCTGCTTTGAGAGTGTCCAGGACGTCTCGTAGTGGGAAGGGTCCTGCGTGAGATCGCCGAGCGTGACCCACATGAACGGTGTGGGGGCGATCAAAAGGCGTTCGCGCACGAGCTTTTCGGCACGCGTTGGTTTGTCCAAGATCTGGTAGCACTTGACAACGTCATCCCACATCTCTAGCTCTTCACAGATTTCTACAGCACTGCCTAGAACGCCAAGCTTAAAGTATCGCTCGGCCAAATCGCGCTTGAGAGCATACCGTGGAGGGAAAGCCAGCGAATACACAAACTGCATACGTTCACGAGCCGGCGCCGAATCTGCAATAGATTGCAATGTGTTTTGCGTGATCGTAAGCCGCGTAGTGTGCTGGTCTACCAGAGCCTGCATCTGCAATACGGCGCGTTCACGTCGTTTCGAGCTCTCACACTCGAGCCACGCACGCTCCAGCAATGCCGTCGAGTATACCATCCAATTGTTTGGGTTTTCGAGTACGCGCGTTACGTACGGCATCATTTCTTCTCGAGTGAGGCCGTCATTCGCGTTGCTATTCTTCACGTCTAGACACAATCCCAGCAGTACAATTTGATCGACAACCTGCAAATTGCCTTGTTTTGTGAGCTTACGGTCTTCAAAATTGATGCTTTCCAGAAGATAATTGTCCTGGTCCACTTGATCCAAGTTCACATTGCGATAAGAAGCCTCGCCTTCCTGCACCAGCCTCTGAATATGCTCCTCGTCAGTAGTAAGATTGTTGGAGGGAGGACAAGAAACAGCTACTGCACCGTTTGGGTCATCGCAATTTGTTTTGGCCTGCTTTTTGCCACCGAAGTCTACATGAGTCGATTCGGCTACAGCCGCCGTGTGAACAGAAGCTTGTTCGTCCACCTCTGCAGGCTCTTTCTTCGATGCCGCAAGCAATACCATCTGAGCGACACTTTTCTGCTGATACTTGGTGCGCCTTCCCAACGATCCACTGAGCTGTACGGCCACACCAGAGATCTCTTTCGCGTGTTCGAATGTCGCCTTGCCATGCTTATTCTTATCAAAGTGGTGTTGCGCCAAGCCCCACTCGACGTACGCACGAGCGAGCAAGTACTGAGTATCCTCTTCAAAGGCGAAAAGATCGCTTGTCGTTAACGTCTGGATGTAGCCACGACGAGCTTCAAACCACAGTGTGTTCGAAGGCTGCTTTGAAAGCAGTAGCCGTTCGTGCGCTACAGCAGCACGAGCATTCCACCACGCTGCCGACTTGATCCGTCCTAGCAACTCCCCGAGTACGCGAATAGCTGCTCCACCACTGACATGTCGCTTGACGGGGCCCTGTACCACACTATCGGGCACTTCATTGTCATTTTCTCCATGCACCATCTCGTGCGCAGCCACGGACCAGTCATCATAAGCGTGGTTTCCCACAAAGTCCAGCAAGCAGCGACCAAGGAGCAAGAACTGCGGGTACTCACAGATAGAAAACGGACTCTCTCCGTCCACCTGAAGTGCCACAAGTGCATCACTGCGTGCTTTCTTGTCGCTACTGTCAGTTGAACAAGTCACGAGACGCGTCGCAAGATCGAGCACATCCCGGAGCGTCTCGTTCTCAAATGCTGGTCCCGTATAGTTTGCTTGCACGTACATATTGAGGAACGCCACCCCAACATATAGCACTTCATAGGCTGCCACGAGACGGCTCTCTGCACTGCCGCATTCATCCAGCAAATAGCCCTGCAGCGCTTCCGCGAGCCTCCCACAAAGGTGCGCGTCTTGGTCGCCATGGTCCAGACTCTCCATCCGCCATTGAGCGACACTTTGCAGCAATTTCTGAGCCCTTGGGAGTCGAATCAGATCCACGTAATCGCCTGCACAGATACATTTGGCCATGTCCACGACAGATGTCGTCTCCTCCGCGTCTTCCAGCGCTTCTTGGGCCCCCGTAACGCTCTTGATGTCGCTCTGGAGCACGGCACACTCGATGGCAAGTAGCTTCGTCTCGATCTGGCCAAGCGCCGCATCCTGAGCGCTGTCGATGAGTGAGAGACGGACGTCGCATGGCTCTTGCATCCGGTCGTCAAGGTGGTGAGCGGCACGGTGTGTGCTCCAGTGGCTTGATGTCGCCACTTAAGTACGGTTGCGCGGATGCGGTGACAAGGTGCGGGTTGCAACTTCAAGACAGACTGCCATGTCGAGTAGGTTCGGACGTTTTGATTCCTAGGTACGATCTCGAACCGACTGATGTGCGGTCGGAATTAACGTCTATCAGTACTTGATAGCCCACTTGTGTCAGGCGTTGTTTTCCGTCGTCTCGAAGCCAACTCGCACTTGGCAGCCATGACTGACAGCGAGGAGGACCAGCTGACGGCTCTGACGCCGGCGCAGAGGAAGCTGTTTGAGCTGCGGATGAAGATGAATGCAGGACGGAAGGCGAACAAGCAGGTGCGACGTCGTGGCGTACCGAGGGGGAGCAGCAGAGATTGTTGACGGGGCGCTGCTATTGTTGTAGGAAGTAGCAGCTGAACACGAGCGCATCAAGGATACCGACAAAAAGGCCAAGAAGGAGGAGCAGTACAAGCGCAAGAAGGTGGGATCATCTTCCTCGAGGGTCACTGGATACAAACGCGTGGGGTCTCATGGAATGCTGTGTGTTTATGTGGCACAGGAGAGGAAGTTGGTTGCTGCGAGCGGTGCAGCTCATCTCAACGAGACAGGTTTGTGTGCCATGGTGGCCGCTTGTATGAGCTAGAGTAGGCCACTTGTGCTGACGAGATTCTGCTACTGTTGTGTATGATCGCTTGTGCCGAACTTCATTGGATGAGTAGCTGAGGTGGCTGAGATCAAGCGGAAGAAGGCGAGTAAGAAGGAGAAGAGGAAAGCTGCATTTGGATGGGACGTCTTCAACCAAGATTCGCTGTACAAGGGCTACAAGAAACGGCTTGTGCATTTGCCCACGTCTGAAGAAAGTGCAGCGTCTGTCGCCGTTACTACCGGCGACGATGCACTTGGTGACGAGCTCACGTATGGCAAAGATGACAAAGTGGATGAGGTTCGTGCACGGATTGACAGGAGCAATGGCATTTTGTCGCTAACGATTCGGTGGTGCAGGCACATTTGGAACGCATGGCGCAAGAGCTCGAAGCACGTATCAAGGCGCGGAAGCAGTTTAGCCGCCGACGCCAGCACTACGAGGGCGAAGACGTCGACTACATCAACGGCCCGAATCGCGTGTTCAACCGCAAGGCGTCCCAGGCTTTCAACAAGTACACGGTGGAGATCCGACAGAACCTCGAACGCGGAACGGCGTTGTAGTCTTCGCAGCAATAATCCAGCTCCCCTTCCTGTCACTTGTGCACCCATGACCTGTTTATAACTCCGAAATGGTCCTTGGTGGCTCACAAACCGTTACATGTCTACTTCAGTATGTCGCTGTCAGCCAATCCGTGAACGTCTTTGTAGGCCACGATTGTCGTTACATACTGATCCAGTAATGTTGGGCCACCAGTACCGACTTGATGGGCCACCCATTGCGACACAGTGAGCGACCACATGATTGGCGAATAATACCGACATCGTGAGCTTCTAGCTCTGATATAAACCTCAGCGACCGGTATCGAAAACAACTGCGAAGCCATCAAGCTAGAACAAGCCAACAATGAACTGGCAATACCGGCCAGTACCGATATGATGGCCCACTCACTCATCCGACACAGTGGGCCACCCCCTGATCTTGTGGGCCACCTCCTGATCTTGTGGGCCACAAGTGTCGAGCGTCCCACCACTTGGTGCTTCCCTCATTCTCGAAATTCCCGACTCCCTCCCACGCTCGTGTCCACTCATTTCTTCCTCATGGCTCCCCCGACCACCTCCACTGCCACGTCGTCATCCCCGACGGAAGGCACGTTCGTCGTCAAGGCCGGTCTCGCCAAGATGCTCAAGGGCGGTGTCATCATGGACGTCACGAACGTCGAGCAGGCTCGCATCGCCGAAGAAGCTGGCGCCGTCGCTGTCATGGCGCTCGAGCGCATTCCCGCGGACATCCGCGTGGACGGCGGCGTGGCGCGCATGAGCGACCCGGACATGATTGAGGCGATCAAGAAGGCCGTGACGATCCCCGTGATGGCGAAAGCCCGCATTGGGCACTTTGTGGAAGCTCAGATCCTCGAATCGATCGAGATCGACTACATCGATGAGAGCGAAGTGCTGACGATGGCAGACGAGGAGAACCACATCAACAAGCACAAGTTCAAGGTGCCGTTCGTGTGCGGGTGCCGGAACTTGGGCGAAGCTTTGCGCCGCATTGCTGAAGGAGCGGCGATGCTGCGGACGAAAGGAGAAGCTGGAACTGGAAACATCGTCGAGGCCGTACGTCACGCTCGCGCAGTGCAGCGGGAGATCCGTCGGCTGAAGTCGATGGACGAGGACGAGCTGTTTGTGGCTGCCAAGGAGATGCACGCGCCGTACGAGCTGGTGAAGGAGGTAGCTACATCAGGCCGACTTCCGGTCGTGAACTTTGCCGCAGGTGGGGTTGCTACACCTGCTGATGCTGCTCTGATGATGCAACTCGGCATGGACGGCGTGTTTGTTGGCTCGGGGATCTTCAAGAGCGGGGATCCAGCGAAGCGTGCCCGTGCCATGGTGCAGGCTGTGACCCACTTCAAGGATGCCAAGATCCTCAAGGAGATTTCGACAAACCTTGGTGAAGCTATGGTTGGTGTGCAAGACTTGAAGGCAGCGTCGGTTAACTTTCGCGACCGTGAGGGCGAACTCCGTGGCGCCTGGTAGACATGGAAGACTCTAGATCGCGCCATGGATCTCGCTGCTGGTATCCATTGACTCAAGCCCGAGTCAAGTGCCACAGACGTGCAATTACTGTCTTCCATCAATATATTGTTATTGCTCAACTTGTCTGATCTTTGCTTTGATGGACAATGCACTGAAGTGAGACCTTTCCAGTTGATCCGCCCTAGCTAGCACACAGTTATTTCAAAAGGCTCACCAGCATCCTCGATCGTGCTCACAATGGACTGGTACGTCATCAGCACAGCGCCAACGCAGATCGTCACGCCAATGCAGAGCACTATCACGGACTGCCGACCAGTTCGTCGCACGAAACCCAGGATAACTACCTGCGAGACAGCAGTCACGACGAAAGCGAGCGCGGACATCATCAGAGCCCAGTCCCACGCAATCAAGCCGAACACGGCAAACTGTGCTGTGGCAGCAGCTGAAGAGTACAGCACCATGAGGGCTGTAGTGGCTGAAGCAACCTCCGGGACAATCCCCATCTCGATCATGAGCGGACCAGTCACGATGCCTCCACCAACGCCAAACAAACCAGCAATCACCCCGGCACCAGCACATGCCAACGGAAAGCGGACAACGTTCTGCTTCGTCCAGCGAATATCTCCCACTGCGAACGCGTAGTTGACTGCAAGCTTGCAACAGTGTTGACGGTAGAGGTAGATGGCGGTGTAGACACCAAAGCCAGCGATCCAAGGGATCTCTGCTATCAGCAGCGCCCAGTAGGCCACACTATTGCACGTCACGGATGCACTACCGAGACTTGCTGCTAAGATACCAACGTAACAAATTAGGAGCACGCCTTGTTTCGGCAGCGAGAACTGGCGCTCCCGCTCGAGAATCTGAGCCAGCTTTTCCGTGTCTGCCGTGCATGGAGACCCTCGGACCGACTCTCGATCGACTCCGTCAGTCTGCTTCTCAACGTTTTCGAACGACGTTGGTGAGTAGACTCCGATGTAGCCGGTCGTCTGTCGTTGCTCGCCCATTGCTTCCGTTACGAACGCAGACTCCCGTTGCTCGCCCTTGTTCGTCTCATTGCGATGCATCTTGATCCCTTTCGACACCGTGCGTGCTCCCCCCAAAGTGAGCACGACAACAAAGAGAAGCGAAATCAAGTAGCTAGGCAGGAGCTTGGCAAACACCGTGCCTACAATAGCACCGCCCATCACGAGCGGAATCATGGCCAGTGCCAAGTCCGAGTCAATAAGAGGTCGATCCACGGCTGGATGCCGTTTGCGAAAGTTAAACCAGGCGTTCGCGATCGCTCCTCCGACAATAGCGAGGTTGGATACGGGCGTCGCCCGTTTGATGTCAAAGCTCATGATGAGGACCATGGCGGGTACCAAGATCGTGCCTCCACCGACACCTCCCGCTGCCGAGATGGCCAGTCCCACAGCAATGAAGATCAATGCGAGTGCATCGTAGGTACCAAAGGTTGACAAGCTGCGCAATTCCGGGACCCCATCGTCCGAGCTTTTGCTGTGGTTATCTTCAGCCGATACAGCAGCGACGGAGAGTGCGAGCACAGAGATCAGCAGCGTCACAGTCGACGCTCGGGGTCTCATTCGAATGGTCTCGTAGCCAGTCAGCGAGGGCATGACGGAATTGAAAACTGATCGTTCCAATGTGCTGGATCGTGGCCATCCGAACCGCACGTTCTTACAAATCGCTTGAGTGCGTTGGAACGAGAGACAGTGACAACGTGTCAACAGTGGCGGTTTCCGCCGATGGAGGTGATTTGTCCATCCAATTTTCTGCATGACTTGACTTGGTGCAAGTGTGAGCAATGATGAGTTGTCACCGGGTTGTTGACCGTCCGTGAAGCTTGGAACTGCTGGGTCTCTGCCAAGAGCAGCTGAAAAGCCCCCGTGCTTTGGCCTTGAAACGTTCTGATTGATGACGTACTGGCCTGAACGTACGCGCCATCGAAGCTGGATAAAACTTCGCCACGCCTTTTTCAACAGTCTCTGGCTCGGAATGAGCCTCACATCACTGCAGTCAAGAAAGTGGCGCCAATATCGACGGGGATCGTTCCCAGTACAAGCCGTGGATTGATCAGAGGACGATCCACATTCGGGGGGCGCTTACGCAAGTCGAATAAAGCGTTCGCTACGGCGCCACCCAGGATGGTCACGACAGAAATGGGCGTCTTGCACTAGATGTCGAAGCTCATGACTAACACCATAGCCGGCACCATGATGACACGGCTAGTCCGAGGATTATGAACGCGGTTGCGAGGAGCTAATATGGCAAGTGTTGGTGTTGAACCGACTCGGGATGCCTTTCATTGTCATTTGTAGTGTCCATGTTGCTGCTTCTGCTGCAGCTACCATCGGCATGGACTAGAGTGGGTATCGCTGTTGTTGAAGTGCTGCAAGTATGAACGGAAAGACCAGGACAAGGTGAGAGCTCAGTGTCGGGATAGCCATGGTGGTGCTGCGAATTCCGACGTGCAGGTTGGCGATCTTGTGATCTGATCACGACCATGTCTTGTTGAAGTGTTAGCGGTGCAGGTACTGATCGACACTTCCACGGTGAGCGGTTCGGCTGACGAGGTGGTACATCCGGAAATCGTCCGTCCACATTTCTGCGGGACGCCGAGGGACTCTTCAGAACGTTCTCGCATACATCCGCCCCCTCAACTCTGTCCGTGCTGTTTCCCAATGATGCAGCTGCTCGCAAGCGAGGTAGCTCATGAAGGCGGAGACGCTGCCCATTATTTTCGCAAGCCGTTGGAATTGAAGCTCGATGTAACGACCACGTCGGTTGCCTGCGCATCTGGTAGCGCACTGTAAAGACATGAAGAAGGGAGGCGCTTGGTGCCTCAATCAGTGTATCGATCGCTTCCAAGCCATTCGAGATTGGGGAGGATCTGACACTTGTGAGAATGGAACAACCAAATGACCAAGACAGTCGTGGAGACGCGGACATTTTATTGCTGTACCCGTGGTCCAGGTTGCTGTCTTTTGGCGTGTCGACTTCGGGAATTGGTCGTCGGCTGCTGTCGAACTTCTGGACTCAAGCGTGTGCTGCCGGCATGGCTATGACTTTGGCTTTTGTGGCGCTGTTGCAACTGCACTACGCATTGGCTGGACACATTGTCACTGCAATGTATTTCACGTATACGTGTCTCTATGAGCGTTTGATCCAGCATAAAGGTGCACGAAACACTGTCGAACACACATACCAGCCACGCAAGCAGTTACTTGTCGGTAACTGGCGTTACGCGGCTCAGGTCACAGACGAGTCCAGCTTGATCATGACCCGACTGCCCGACGACTGGTAAATGTTCATTGCAGCGGAATAGCTTCGAATGCTTGACGCCTCAGGTGGTGCCTGACGGTATGACGAATCATAAGCACCACGAAGAGGAGAACAAGGCAACTAGACACCGCCCACAATAGCGTCTCGTGCACAGCAGCTACCTCCGACGAGTTGTTGAGGCGACCGGAACCGCTGGTCTCGACGCCCCAGATGCGATTTGCCGCCGATTCCTTGTCCATCGTTTCTTCGTCAATCAAGGACTCGACGAACGGACGCAGGGTGTCAGCGACGCACGCATGGTTAAGAGTCTTGCCGATCAGCTTCTTGAACGTTGAAAACGGACATCGAATATCCGTAGTTCCGTCACCAGCGTCGATCTCCTTTGAGCACGACGGGATGGTAACCTGCACACGGTCTGGAGGCTGCTCGCACACACAGTTCGAGTCAGATTAGATCGATTCGAGTGCAGCAAAGAAAGACGGCTTACATTTTCAGGGGACAACTTGTCACCATTGCGAATTTGCTGAGGAGAAGCCGCGACAAAGTACAGCTTAACATAAAACCGACTGTCATCGACAAGATTCAGCCCGTTTTCTCCTTCCGTGCGCCAAGTTGCGTACTCCTCAGCCGTAGTTGTAGACTGAAGCTTTCGAGACTCGGACATGCTGGGAGAAGGTTGGTCATTAGTCTTTGCTGGTGTCGCATGGAGCTCAAAAACTAGCATGCTTCCTGGCACTGGCTGATGCGGGTGCCAGCCTTTTGTATACCACTGCAATCTGTTGGACAGAATGCATTGACGTAACAAAAATGTTCGCAGATCAAGGACGTGCTGGCAATTGCAATAAAAATGAAAACTTTCCAAACGCACCTTAACAAGTTGCGGACATACAGCAAATTGATGTCATGGGCAGCGTAGTAGAGCAGTCGGTTCTCCGGTCCTTGGGCAAGGTGAGGCCCATCGCCCTTTGCCACGGGCAACGTCTTTTGCAGTACGTTCTGCTCAAAACTAGCTGTGAGATGGGCGAGTAGCGTCCCGCCGAAGCTTGCGCTGTTGATTTCATTGGTAATGAGGTCCATGTGAGTCTAGCAACAACAGCATCATCGGATCATCAGCAAACAGCACAATTGAGATCAAACATAACACACAGAAACCCAACCTCGTGGATCTTGGCTAGAGACAATACTTTCTCGAATGACAACTGCGAAGGCAGGCTCATGTTGTTGAGACTTTGCAGCAGCAACCATTCAGAAAAATAGTCCGCATTCGAGAGAGTGTCTCTCCAAGGCAGATAAAACGCCCCGTTCCATTTCGTGGGGATGCCAAACAAGTCGCACGTGGTGGGGCTCTGTGTCGAATTGATGCTAGCAGACTCCTCGATAAGGTTGCATACAGATGCAGCACAACACTGAAGAACGTCGTTGACTACAGCAACTTCCTCCCGTATCTCTGGTAGCACAAACATCGTGTCATTGTTTCCGGTGATGCCTTCGTACACTGCACAGCACATCAAAGATAGTAGCCGTCAGAGACCGAGACGATCAAGAACCGACAACAAGTGTCATTCGACCCATGTTTGCATATACGCACTGGCTTTCGAGCACACAGGGCACTTTGCTGTAGGGTCTTGTCCCTGCTCAAACAGAAACTGCGTCTTCTCGGTCATTGGCACGAGTTCTTCGCACAGAGGATAGAGTCCACTCAGGAACGCGACCGCAGTCACCTGGAATCATCAGCATCCACAACTACATTTAACTACCATATACAGCCATGGCAGCTAGCACCTACTACACGCACATTATCTCGCTCGTTGTTATCAGCATATGCAAACGTTTCTTTGCACGTGGCGTTCAAAAATTCACGGTACATGTGATCTCGAAAGTACTGTCCAAAAAAAGGGAGAAACAGCAAACATCTAGTCATCCACACAATTACCACTGCACCATCTTGCCGTCACCACGATGCATAACGACGTAGGCGTACCTCTCCCATGCGCTCTACGACAAAGAAACCATGCTTCGTGAGCTTCGGTGACACGGTCTCCCTCGGGTCGTCAGTCCCCGAAGTGCCCCATTCGTAGGCACTCAGGGGTAGCTTGACATCCGGATTGCGCACGTACTTGTTCATCATCTCTTCCGATGGCGCTTCAGTGCCCATTCCATAGGGTCCGCGCACGCCATGACGAGACAAGACGATGACCTTACGAGGCAGAAAGTCGATGAGCCCGCGATCGTCTAACGCGTGCCATGTGCACTAGACACCAGATATCACCAACATAAACAGCAGATCTATCAACGTACTTGACGCAAACCTGACGTGCGCGGGTCGACTGCTCCATCCGCTGGCACCGCGACTAGTAAGCCAACCCACCCGAGCGGAGCTACTCGCCCGACTCTCATGGTAAGATATTCGTAAAATATCTCAACTTTTCAGCCAACGACGGTACCGTCGCGATGCGATCAGGTACGAGTGATTCGGCAAGTCCACTCTTAGAATCGTTTGGGGGTACCCACATCGATTTGCTGGGTTTGTCGAGCTTCAGCTTCAGCTGGACGGACCGACTGCAGAAATACGTACCAGACGACTGGCATGATGCAACTCAGACGCCACATGTTCGTATCGAGAAATTCCCGTGGCGAGTCGCTGCGGACAATCACGTGCGCGGAACCGCAAAACGATCCTCCCACGTTTTATCGGTACACTTCTCGTGGCTTCGCTGCTGGACGATGTAGCCAAGTTGGGTCTGGCTCAGACAGCCGGCGACGCACAAGTTGTGGAGCACAACGAGGCGAGCAAATCGGTGGAGCGAGCAAGTCCACAAGCTGGATGTGGCTTAGCCATGCGCTTGTGATCTCGTGGACTCCAAAGACAGGGAGCGATGGAGGCTGCACTGCAACAGATTGTCGCATGCTGGTAGGTGCAGGAATGGCTGCGCGCACTTCCACAGAAAGAGACATTTTGCACGCGCGGCTCGTTTGTCCGGGAGCGCATCGTACCTATCCACAAGACAAGGACATAGCCAGGCTAGTCCGTCCGTATGTCATGTGTGTTCCTCGTGCCGTCCGTTTTTTGTGCCTGGCTCGTCTACAGCCACACGTTTAAGTCGTGGAGCTCACGAGTCTCGTCTGCAGCTGCGACGATGCGAGCACCTCCTTCGAGTCGTTCCGTTTCACGCGGCGGGTGGCCCGGGAGCTCAATGGCCTCACCTGGCAACGCACAGCAGACGGGATCCGCTCTAGTAAACTGCAGCTGCGTTTCCGTGGAAGCTCGAGGCTGGCGCTGTGGACGCCAACCAATCCGCCATCAGAAATGCGGCCTCTCGTCCTTCTTTACGCAGCAGTGTTCACGCAGTGTGCAACACGTGGTGGTCGTGGCCGTAGCCGCTGCGAGAGCTGAGCGGACCTCGTTGAGCCCGTGAGTGCCCTAGGGCTTTCCCCGGCACCCACACCGAACGCGGCCCATGTGTCCGCAACGTTCGCGCGCGGTCTCTGCTCACAACGGCCGTTCCCGTTTGTCGCGAAGTCGCCACAGGCCACAAATCCTGCCCCAACCGCAGCTCGGCTCTTGCTGATCAGAGGTGGACGGACGGACGGACGGACGGCCTGCTTCCTGACCCCTCTCTCTCTCTCTCTATCATCGACTCGGAGCTCGAGCAATAGCGCCGGAGGTTCCAGCCTTTTTGGCAATGGCACTTTGCAATTACCGTCCAGTGGCGTACGTCGTTATTTAAGAGTCACGGGTCTCTCTCGTCCTGCTTCCCCTACTACAGCCAGCGTCCGAATGACGTCCTGCGTGATCCATGTCCACGACCTCCCGCGTCGTCTACACAAGCGCCTGCAGTCGTCACTACCGGTCGGAGGTGCTGCCACGGAAGCCTCGTCAGCTCCAAGGGACTCGGTCACAAGCGAGGCGCGGCTCAAAGTGTGCAAGCGCCGGATCGAGTCGTCGCCGCGCTCCGCAATGACTGTCGAGTCGTTGGGGAGAGAGACCGCTGTAGTCACGACGTCTAGGAGCGATGCCGCTGGTAATGTACAGTGGCCGAGCGTCACCGGCTGCGAGGGTGTGCGCAAGGCGCTCACGTTCCTACGGACGTCGCGACAGCACGCACTCATGCTCATGCTACAGAACCACTGGGAGCGTGCGATGGGCGTGCTGGAGAAGATTGAGAAAGCGACGGAGAGCGTCAGTGAGCAACGACGACAGGTCGTCATTAAGCAGGCAAATGCTGGCCGGAACTCGCTTGTTTGGAAGCTCCAGGAGCTGGAGGTCGTGGCCCCACAGCGCGTCGTGCGCTTTCGTGACGAAGTGGCTTTTGCCATTGCAGATGAGATGGACCGTACGTGCGACGTCGTGGCGGAGCCCTTGCGCGAGGAGATGCTCGTGTTGCGTGCGTCGCGCAAGATCCCACAGGCAAATCTGTCCGAGTTCTGGAACGAGTAAGTTCTCCGTCGGAACGGGGGAGTACTCGCACCACCATGATTACCACTACTACCGCCAGTACTACTGGACTTGCGTGTAGCTACTTGGTACGTCGAGCAAGAGCTGGTCGCTAGGACCGCCACTTGTCACGACGCAAGCTAGTTAGGACTCCTAACTTATTCGTAGATGCTATTTAATACCACACACACTGGAACCGTCATCACGACTTTGCAAGCTTTGGAACGCAACAGCGCAACTTGTTGCACTCAGTACCGCAGTGTCTTCCAGTAGCTCTACGACGACAAAAGTAAACAGTCGGTCCAGTCTCTCCTTCACGCTCTCGGCAGCCAAGCAAACTGGTTGCTGCGTCCAGTTCCATTCCTCCGTATTTTGTGGATGGCGACAAAGATCATCAAGTCGGTGCAGCCTCACGTCGTCAGACACGGACACGGTTGACTTGAACCCATTGCTGGTCTGCAGCCAGCAGTCCGAGGCAAATGATAGCTGATTCGCTATACTGTCCCGGCGGTAGAGGATGCCAGCCACAGACAGACGATCCACGTGGACGTACGTCGACTTCAAAGTCCCGAAAGCTCTAAATAGAGCAAAACCGTCTGTTGTTGCAGCCGTCGCGATAAAGTCGGCGAACCTCCAGTCGCTTGTCGTCGGTCGGTTCTGAGGACGAAAACCGTGCCGATAATAATAATCATAATCATCAAAATAGTCATAAAAATAATCGCTCGCACGCGCGAGAAAGGGAGACGGCATACAAACGTCAAGAGAAGAACGGGCGTCAACTATAAGGACGTACTGACAGGACTCGATCTGTTCAAATCTCGCTGTGCCCTTCAAGGAGGAGCGAGTGCGCCTTGCACGCGCCCGATCGATCGATGGCCGACGCGATGCCGTACCGCACGGGAGGCAGCCACCCGGAAAAGGCCCGACTGGTCTTCAACGCGCAGTTGCACCAGCACCTCCGGAGTTTCGCCAAGCAGCGCGAGTCCGCGACGGCTCCGGGCGCTCCAACGATCTCGAGCAACGGCAGCATGCGGCCCACGCAGTCGATGGGACCCAGTGGAGCCAGTCGCTCTTCGGACGTGAATGGCTGGACCGTGGAGAAGAAGTTGATGGCGCTCTTGGAGCTGCTGGAGCTGCTTCGTCGTCCGTTCTTTTTCTACTTGGACTTTGGCACGGCTGCAGCAGCTGAAGCTTCGAATGGAGGCAGCGCAGGGGCGTCAGGGGACCGGAAACTCACGTACCACTCGTACTTTAACAAGATGTTGCCACTCCATGTGGGGCAGACGGTGCTGCTTGACTTGTGGTAGGGGGCGCTCTCGAGTGTGTGTGTGTGGGGGGGTATCTCTTTTGTGATTGGTTTTGGAAAGACAGGGTACTGATGGACGGATGGTTTGCTGTGTTTGGTGCGGTTCTTTGGATCATTTGTGTGTGTGCTTGATGCTGGATGATTAGGGACTATTTCATGAAGGCGGTTGATCGCTTGCCGACGCATAGCCATTACCGGTCTCTGTATCTCCAGGCAGCAGTGTACATCTGTCGTCGTGTCGAGTTTATTGAAGGGTACCCGCTGGACGGGCAGCAGGTACATCTGGACTCGCTTGTGTCACGACGGTACATTGGATTGTTGGAACGAAGTGTGCGCTTCTGCTCGGCCAAGATCCGCTCGGCTCGCTTCATGGCAGGAGAGTACCGATTTTTTGCGGTACATGTTTACACTGCAGTGTACTTTCGCTTCCCGTTTGCCACGCCCAAGTTACTTGAAGCGGTGTTGCAGAGCACTGAAAAGCTAGAAGGGGTCGGAAATGATGTCGATAGCCACGGGACGAAAGGCGGAATAGACAAAGTGTCGAATGGAAGTTCGAATGGGGTGAAGAGTACTGCGCATCCTGTCAAGACAAAGCGCCGGTACTGTGGAAGTAGTGTCGGAAATTTGCGCAGTCCTCGGCAGTACCGCCGCCACTGGAACGATCTCTCGGGTATCGTGTTGAAAGCACTTTGGTCAGTTGTGAGTCTAGTGATGAGATGGCGTTCTGACTTTTGCTTGTTTTGATATACTCGGTATTGCAGAATCTAGGTGCCGGCCTGACCGGATCAGTGGCGTCGACTTGCAGCTTGAGCTGTTTTCTTCATTTTCAGAATACAAATCGAAGCGAGGCACAGATCGACTGGTCGTGCCTGTAAAAGGTTCGAGTACACCGGGCATTCCACAGGATTTGTTACAAAAAAGCGGTAGCAACAAATCTGTTGCCGTGGCACTAGAAGCTGCGTTTCAGCTGGGCATGAACCGAGTCGGAGAGGAGCAAGAAGTGACTTTTATTTATCAGCTACCTTTGCTGTACATCGGACACAAGCTGCAGAATGACGCGTTTGTGAAGATGAAAGTGACGACACCAGACAAGATAGATGCCGGGTTGGACCCGTTCATAGAGCGAATGAAATCACCGGGTAAGGATGACCTCATGGCTGTAGCGTTCGTGGCCGCTGTACTGAGCGATGTGAGTAGTTGGTGCAATCATCGCTATGCAGATGGTCGGATTTTGTGGCATTGCGTGCCCGGCTACTTTGCCCTTATTCGCCTCTACGTGGCCGTGTTCCAGCGTATGTGCCAAAGGCGATCGCGGTCTAGTGCGAATTCTTCATCGATGCCTTCTGTGCTTCGCATCCTTTCTATTATCGAGGGCAAGACGAGCGATCCATGGGAAGACTATTGGAATGAGCGCGAGATTGACACTGTGCTGGAGGCTGGCAGTGAAGTACTGAAGAATGAAGCGCTGGTGAACGTGCTTATGCAGATAGTCTTGGAGGGCACGAACATCCTCGACCCTGCAAGTGTCAACTACTCGTTCGGTATCTTGCAACGAGTGCTTGAGATAGCCTCGATAGCCACACTGCCGGCAGCAACCGAAGCTGGGTTACACTGTGGGAAATTCGGCGGTCGTGTCCGCCGCTGCCTCGGGTCAGCATTTGATGGAGACTACTTTCTGAAATGCATGCGCAGCGCCTTGCAGTCTTCGCATGTGCAAACGGTACTGAAAGTGCTTACATGTATCTACAACTGCATCGACTTGTTGCCGACTACTGTCCGCAAGCGGCTTGTCACGGAACTGATACTGCGCGACAATTTCTTTCACTTCTTTTTGCATTGGAACGAAGAGGTAAGTGGCTTCGGGAGTTAGATGCTCAGTGTCTCGCTTCAGCTACTCACATGTTACTTTTGCGCAGATCCGGAAGATCTTCTGCTACATGATCGTGTTCAAGACGTCAACATCGAATCGGCTCGACCTCCCAAGCGCATCAGATCGAGTTCTTCTTGCGCAGACTCCGTTTTTTGAGGTCGGCTCGACCTGGTCCAACGGCTCAAGCCTGTCGGCCGCATCGCCTGCACTTAGTTACCTGAGTCATTTGAGCGAGTTGGCTCAAGCCATGTTACGGCCTACTGAGGACAGCGAGATCGATCCTGCGAAGAGAGCAGCAGTCGGCAAGAAGGCGCTCCAACGCCTCACAAACTGGGACGCAAGCGCGCGGCTGAAGCGCACCCGGAGTGGTGGTGATGCCGTTTTCCGAGACAGCCTTGTCGACGAGGAACTGTCCGTGGATTTGTCTATTGCCAGCAAGCTTGACGCGAATCTCAAAATGGTCGCCGAGCAAATGGATCCAGGCAAGCACCGTACTGCGTATTTTCCTCGGCAGTTGGAGTCATACGCCGAGCGCGCATTATCACAATACGTGTTGGTGTTGTGGGAGTACTACGAAGTGGCCTTTGAGAACCCAGCCAAGACGCCAGTCGCACCATCATTGGAGTTCACGATATCTGTGCCATTTTTCTCCGATTAATCCCGCGAGTGCGTGTATTACTAATTTGTAGACGTACGGCTAGACAGGCGTATCGCAGATACACGGGACGCAAGTCAGACTTGAGCGTAGAGACTCAGTTGGCGGAACATTTCTTTGCTGCTGAAGATGATTGTAGTCGCTCCCGCTAAGCAAATAGAAGCAAATAGAAGCAAACAGTCAACACTGAAGCAGCTTACACATTGCACAAAACATTTCTCACCGTGCAGTGGCTCCGTCGTGAACATGAGCACTTCTCCTGCGCGCACGCGCTTCCAGTCACGTTTCCGACGGGCGAATAAATTGTCGTGCTCCTTCTTGTCCGCTGTGCGGCCTAATGGAGCAAACGAAACCCGAAAGAGTCGCATTAATCGCGCAAGAATGAACTAGTCTGGTAAAAAAGCAGCTCACGTGGTCGATCCTGCTTGCGCTTATGTGTACTTCGACATGAGTGTACCTGCAAGCAATTAGAACAAGTCACCGGTAAGCTCCGGTAACTTCGCCAGCAATGATGGACAACGAAACTCAAACACGGACTGCTGCATGAATCTGCAGAAGCCGCAGACGTTCTTCACGATCGAGAGCGTGTTCAACAAACGCTTTGAGCCACCACTACAAGTGCAAAAGTTCAGTCAGTACACACACCAAGGCCTCTTTTTCTTGCCGTCGCCATCACGCACCCGTGCATCCATATTGCGTATCGCGTGCTTCTTTGTCTGGACATACGTCTCAACAAACGCGTCCTCCCGCAACTTCTCCTGCTCTCCATTCTGGATGCAAGTGAGCACAAACTCCCGCAGCGGTTGGTAAGCTCCTTTCGCTAACTCGGGACACTCGTGCAGTTCCATGAACTCAAACACGTGCGTCTTGAGCACGAGCGGCGCCAAGTCGTCGGCCAGTCCTCCCTCCACGGTCACGCATACAGTGTGCACTCCAGCGTTGTCAAGACGAATGTCTTGGACGTAGTAAACGCCATTGGGGAAGGCCGTACCCACTCTCTCATTAAACACCACTTTGCCATCGTTCTGGATCGTCACACGCAGCGCTGCGACTGCACGGGACTTGACAACGGTCGACTTGCCATTCTTCGTCGACGCGACGTAGAAACCCAAGTAGCTACAGACCCCTTTGGTCAGCGTCGAAGAGATCCCCTACACACGGCCAAGTCAATCTGAACAGGATGCCTACGAAGTAACGCACCGAAAGAGCGCGAACTGGAGCGGGACACGGTCCGGCAGCATCTCAGCCCATCTGTCGGCAATAGGGAAGAGCTGGTAACCGTCAGGGAGCGACGAGTTGCGCTTAATGGTGATCGGCTTGAGGCGCTTGAGTGACATGGACGGAGTTTTTTTTGAGTCGAGTCATGGACGACCGGAGACGTGATGGATACAGAGGTGTGAACGACTGATGTGTACGACGAAACCGATCGTACAAACGGCGATCGAGTGTCTGCATTTTTGTATGACCGACGTTAGATTCCGTCGCTGGAATATCGTCGAGACGCACTGCGTCGTCACGCAGAAGGCGCCAGCAGGTGCCAAGTTTGTCAACAACTACCGGGTGCTGCATACGCTGGGTCAAGGTCGGTTTGGCAAGGTGAAGCTCTGCGAAAGGGTTGCTCGAAACTGCAGAACCGCCGACACTTCTCGACGAAACGACGTCCAGGCTGTGCGTACAAGTGCTGAAGACGGCGACAATGCAGCATCGTCCCTTCCTCCACGGACATTTGCACCGTCTATGAAGCGTCAATTTGCACTAAAGATTTACTCCAAGACGACGCTGCGTCGACTGAAGGAGTACTGTGCGAAGCCTGCAGTGGATCAGCTCGAAGAAGGTCAAACCTGTGGCCTGAACGAAGCTGCAGCGCCTTGTAGGATGCAGACGATCACGGCTTTTGATCGAGTGCGCGATGAAATCGCGATCATGCGGTCGCTCTACCATCGCAACATTGTATTGCTGTTTGAGGTGATTGAGGCAGATGATAGCGACAAACTCTACCTGGTACTTGAGTACATGGCGTGCGGTCCATGCATGGTCTATCGACCGGCTACCAAGGACTTTTATAGCCCCGTTACGGGTGGTACGCTGTCGGAAGAGCTGGCACGGAGTTACGTGTCAGATATCCTGCTTGGTCTGCAGTACTTGCATGACCGACGAATCTGCCATCGCGACATCAAGGTAGGTGTGCGATGGGTACTGCTGGTGCAATGCTTCGACCTTTTATGCTGGTCGTCTGCATGGTGTGTGTCCATGTGCACTGATTGTACGCTTGCTTGTAGCCGGAAAACGTGTTACTGAATGGTGCAGGCCGCTGTCATATATCCGATTTTGGCTGTGCAAGAGCATTCGGTGACATCGGGGAAGATGGTGTGTTGGGAGTTGCACGTCCGAATGCCGCACCCGTGTTGCTGTCGGACACAGTAGGCACGTATCAGTTCTTGGCGCCGGAGTGTTGTTCAGGTGAAGCTTACGACCCATTCAAGGCAGATATCTGGGCTGTCGGTATCGTCCTCTACATTTTCATGTTCGGGAGACTACCATTTCGATCGGAGAGCACGCGAGACCTGTTTGAAGAGATTGCTCGCGGGACGATAGTAGTGCCTGGCACAGCAGAGTCTGTCCGAGAGCTACCACTCAGCCACGAGGGCCAAGACTTGCTGTACTGTTTACTCGAAAAGAATCCCGAACAGCGGATATCGACTGCGGATGCGCTGTGCCACCCGTGGTTTATGCATGGTGATGAACCCCTTTCGTTCTGAAAGGTGTACACAGTAACGTCGGCCGATACTTACAGTAACTACAATTGACTCGAGGTGAGGGAGTGAATGAATGGGAACCGTCGAGCGACTCGATGCCTTCTATCGACGTATAATGCCTCCAGCACTTTGGTGTGCGAGCGATCCCAATTTTTCAATCAAGCATTGACGTCTGTCAAAGCAGAACTGCCGGACTAGCACAGTAGAATGCGAACAAAGTGTTCGCATCTACCATGCGCACTCGGATTTTGATACCCGAGCAAACTCGATGGTAGGTAGATACCAAGTTAGCTGGAGATTGCTTTAACATCCCCAGCACAAAGTACACAGCCGTGCACCATAGTGATGTCTAGCGCATGCTCGTGTAAGACCTTGGACGTACAATAGGTGCGTGGATACGGGCTGTCCTCGTTCAAAGAGAAGGGATCCCAAAGCACGTAACTAATCACCGAAAGAGGAGAGACACGGTCATGCTCTACGATTAAAGATGTCCAGGACCTGGTCCAGATCGTTTACATTGCATTCGTCCAACATCCAGGTGACAGGAAAACTGCGTGTCTTGCACGAAAGCTTTGGAATAGCAAGCGAGTAGCTGCTCGTCTGGCAACCGCTTCCTCTGCACACACATATAACTTCTTGTCCTCTGATACTTCGTGTACTGGAATGGCCCAGTGTTACCGTGAATGTGCATCGAGCTTCCTCTGCATTTACCCTTTTCTCGCACTGGACGTCCATGAGGCAGCTGGATGCGAGCGACCAGGTTGATCACACATCCCGTACAAGACGTTGAACTCCTGGTATCATCCGATACTTTGCGTCGTAGAACATGATCGCACTGGATGCTCCTGCATCATTTGTGCAGCGCATGGCTGTAAACCGAATGGTGGGAACTGACACAATTGGTACGGTGATTACGAGCATTTTCCACTTCAAGTGAACGACCGACCACCAGTCATTCGACAATGGCGTCCATTCGTCTCAAATCGAGTGTCCTGGACGGTGTCAAGGTTGGAATCGAAGAGTTCATCGACAACCGCAACGATCGATTGGTTGTACGCGGCTGCATCAAGACAAAGTGCGTGATCGTGATCTAACGATGTGTTTAGAGTGGTGCAGCTGACGGAAACAGGACGGACTCATGACGTGGCAGGCCTGATGACTTCATCGTGCGCGAGATCAGTGCAGATGGTGAAGTGGTGGAGTTGAACGAGGAGAGCAATTGCTTGGCGTTAGAAAGCGAGCGCACCGCGATCTTGAAGAAGCTCGAAGCAGGACAGCAGAAGGCGAAGAAGGAAAGACTGGAGTTCGATGACCCCGTGGATGGTTGGCCAGCAGCTTTAATGGAGCTGGTTGGCGCTGCTGGATTCCAAGAGGTTGAAAGCGTGGCAACGAGGAAGACTGAAGAGTTCCTTGTTGCATCACCCGTGACGATGAAAGAGCGGGCGTTCCTCCAAGTCTGTATCCAGGTAGACCGATCACCCAGCTCCTTGCTTGAGTAGCGATTGAGATGCTAACTTTACGCAGAAATGCTTTCCAGCGCTGGACTGTAAAATGTGTCCGGTGTTAGACATTGAAGGGCAAGTAGTGCAGCAGATGCGAGTGGTATTGGATCCTGTGTACAGGAAACTACAAGACGGAGGAATGGCGCAAGAGAATTGCGATCGTCTCCTCACCTTTCTTCGTAAAGGAGCTAGTGACCAGACGATTGTAAAAGGTACTGACGGCGCTAGAGCCTCACTAACCACACTGGAGTAGAAGCTCACTGCTGATGTTGATGCGTGTTGAACCAGGTCTTGAGCTTGAGCACGAGGACACGAAAGAAGCTCGAACTGCGCTGCATCGGTTGATTGCCAAGAGCTCTTCGTGCTTCAGGACAAAGACCGAAGCTCGAAACAACGTACAGCGCTTGGTTGTGTACTTCCAACCGAACAAACGCAATCAAAAGCGAAAGCGCTCCCAGCCGCAGGTGTATCTTCGTTTCGTGCTTCAGAAGGTGAGAGTATCCTGACATGTGTTGCGTCCCATTGCTTCGTCAAACTTGAGCATGTCGTTTCCCGACTGTCTTGTAGACCAACTTGGAGCACTTCTCGGCTTTCGAGAAGCTGGCTCGCAGAGTTCGCCACCCGCTGTCAGCGTTTTCTTACGCTGGTACGAAAGACAAGACAGCTATCACATTCCAGCACGTCGCGGTCAGTGGAGTCGACCCCGATCAGCTCTTGAATGTCAACACTACGGAAGATAATGCCATGGCGGGACTTCGAGTAGGGAATCTCAAATACGTGGAAACTCCAATCGCTCTGGGCGGGTCGAATGGAAACAGGTTCTCGATTGTAGTCTGGAGTCTTTCGTCCGACACGCACTGCCCTGCAGAGATGATCCGATCGACACTCGAGTCTACACTGGAGACCATCGAGCGTCATGGCTTTGCCAACTACTTTGGTTTCCAGCGTGTTGGGCTCCCAACGAACACGGTGAGAGCTCACCACATTGGTGAGAAAATGGTTGCCAGCAAATGGGAAGAAGCTTTGCGGCTGATGCTGGCGGTCAGACCTGCGGAATCGGAGGATGCAGCAAAAGCCAAGCAGCACTACCTTGAGTCGGGCGACATTGAAGCCGCTCTTAAGCTTATGCCACTCGGCATGTCGGTTGAACGGCAAGTCCTTCAGGGACTGAAGCGGTTCGGAAGTGACGCGTTCGAGCAAGCGGTCCAGAGCATCCCGTTTTCGCGCCGCATGATGTACATGCATGCGTATCAGAGTTACATCTTCAATCGGGTGGCGTCGTTCCGGTTGCGTCACTACGGGACCAAGGTTGTGGAAGGTGATCTGGTCCAGTGTGACGCTCAGCACGGAAAAGCAGTGAAGACCATCACTGCCAAAGAGGCGACTGAGCTGAACAAGACTCGCCAGTCTGCGATAGGACTCGTTGTTTTACCGCTTGCTGGGACAAACGTCGTGCTTCCTTCAAACACGACAAAAGACGTATACGTCAAGGTCCGTTCTCACCACTGAGCATGTGCAAGGTGAGCTGAGCAAAGAAGACTGAGTCCGTTGTGCTGTCATGCTGTGCATAGATAATGGAGCAAGACGACACGAAAGATGCTCTCCTCGAGTCCGGACCCGTAAAAGGTGCGTATCGACCTCTAGTCGCGTACCCACATGACTTGGAGTGGACTTGGCATCAGGACGACGACGAATGTACGTGCCACAATTCTCACCGCAACTCTCACTCGACGTCCCAAAGCTTGACTGCATTCGTTTGGTGTAGCGCTCTCACTGCAGATCTCATTCTCCCTTGACAGTGGCTCCTTTGCCACCATGTGCTTACGCGAGGTGCTTCATTCGGACATTTAGGACCCTGATAAAGCCAAACCAAACAAACGCCATTTGCGGGTCAACAAGTTGATTCATCGTTTGGTCTCGACCGTACCGGTAAGAAATGCCACCCTCATGGGCACACAGCGACAACACGCAGCAGCATTGCTCGGCTCTATTTCTTGTCCTCTAGCGCCTGACGCACAAGCTTGGCGCCCGTGACCATGAAAAGCGTTTGCCAGATGCCCAGCCCCAAGCGCGGCACGATGCCCTTGAAAAGACCACCATAGCCTTGCTCCCTAATGACCGTGCGAAAGACCTGCATCATGTTCTGCTTGGGCTCTCCACGGTCTGCAGCACTTTGCATCTGGATGCGTGCGACCTCAAACGGATGGTTCCAGCAGGATAGAGCGCCACCAACGATGCCGGCGCCAGCCTCTTGAACCACCGTGAGCTTGGCTTCCTTGTCACCGTGGAACAGCACTTTGAACTGACCGCGCACGATCTCAGTAAAGCCCTGACGCGATGCCCAGTTCGTCGCCTGGCGAAAAGCGATCGCCGTGCCGCCAGGGTAGAACCCCTTAAGGCCGTGAGTGCCGTACACGTTGTGGATACGCTGCATCGTCGAGATCGAGCGATCACCTGTGACTGCCCCCGTGACGAGAAAAGTGCAGGGACCCATGACCACAACTTGGCAGACGCCACCGCCAGCTCCAGCCAGAAACCCCGTAGCGGTCTCGCCCACGCCTGCAGCTCGGAGGGAGTCGGAAATGGCTTCCTTCGAGTACAGCAAGATCGCCCCTTTGGACGCCGATTCCACCATCTTGGGACCAGTGCCAGCCCAGAAGGCCGCAAGGCCGCCACCTTCCCGCATCACATTGCGAAAGGCCTGGACAGTCGACTCGGAACGGTAGCGACCCATGCGCGTTTTCCAGACCTCGAAAGGCATGCCCAGCGTCGCCGCTTCCATGCACTGGAGTAACCCGCCATTGAAAAGGTCACGTGCTCCCACTTTCTTGCCGGGTGCAACTGGAGGGGGGGACATGCTCAATGAGGTATCGACGACTGGATGGATACGCTCGGGTGGTTATGGTGCGGGCTGATTCAACTGTGCGCTGCGGTTTTGCGGTTGGGTTTTGGTTATGTTCTGGGTCTGAGCGAGCAAACGAGGGGGGGGGAGCGTGTCGTGTCAGGTTGTACGACGGACGATACAAATGTCAAGAGAATTGAGGATGTAGCCATCGAGGGAAGGACGCGTCGATCGAGGCTGTATCGCCTATGTCGCACGCAAGTTGACCTCACGTCGATCGTTGACCACGTACTTGGCTTCATGACGTCACGGCGTCGACACTTTGAAGCGATCAAGAACGCAGCACGTTTTCGGTTCAACGCGGTTTCTAGCTGCGGTCGACTGCAGTGTACACAGAGTGGTGAACGGTTTGACCCGCCAGCTACAACTGTGCAGCAAGACGCTCGGAGATTACGAGCCTGGAGCTGAAGTGACGAAGCATCACGGAGCAGTTCATTGATGACACTCTTCTAACGATCTCCTGGTCGTGTGGTCTTCATATCCGACGTTGACACGATGCGGTACGTGGTTAGAAGAGCAAGTGGCACATCCCTCGGCTTTGCAAACTGCAGGCAGCAGGTCACCGCTCGTGTCGTCCGAGGCTTCAGCTTCAAGAAACACCACCCGTCGCCATCTGCCACCTTATGCGCAGGCAGGAAAAGCAGACAAACAGCTGGTGCTTCCTGCCGTGCGGCCGATAGTTTCCAGCACGCACACGATTGACAACACGTCGAGCCGGTGGGACTTTTGCCACTTGACCACTCACTCCACTTGTGACAATCACGCAGGAAGCAGCCGGTAACTTTTGGGTTGGACGGACTTCTAGCGATTTTCACACTTGTTTTACTCGACGCGATTGTTCGTTTTCGTCCCGCGTGGTCTTGTCCATACTGAAATCAAGTCATTTACGCCCACCCGTTCGGTCGGCTTTCCTCGACAAAAACCACAACGAGTCAGTTCTGCCGATCGAGGTCGACTCGAATTGGACTTCTGCCGCCCGTGAAGCCCCAAGGCGACTCCGAGTGCCCATTGACGCTCGCGCAGACGAAGCGGTCGATCGCCTCTCGCGTCCTGCTATTTTTTTGTCCCGTGCCTAAGGGATCGGCCGTCCCTTCTTTCCCTAACGTTCGGGTAGGACCGGCGACGAATTGAACGACAGCGCGCTGACTGGTGGGAGCTAGCAAATACCGGTACCACAACGACGACGACGACGATAGCCCCTGACCGAGTGCCGGCGGGAAGCGAGTCGTGGGTGCTTCTGGAGCCCAAATGTCAAGGCCCGAGACTCCGTATCGCCGTTCCCAGTCCGTTGTTAACCACTTGGAGCAACACCGCGGCACGCCTGTGCTCGAAGATCAGCACTACATGGACACCTATAGCCCCCCGTCCAATCGTGTTTATGTTATGGAGACTTCACAAGAAGGAGACGTGGCACCGGACGGGCGATGGTCGTTGCGTCACCTGCCGCCGCCTCTGGACCCGCACGGATCGCTCCAGCAGCGCCGAGGTACGCGTGGCGCCCCTGGTGGCTTTGTTACAATGGACAATGGCAGCACCATCAGCAGCTCGAGTGGCAACTACATTGACACAATGAGTCTGACGAACGTGAGCGCTGCGGCGCAGCAGCCACTGATCTCGACGCCACGTGCGGCGCAAAAAAACATTGTTCGGGTCATTGATAAGGACATGACGCAGCAGTTCCGGGGTCGGTCCAAGTCGGTTGGCCAGGGACGAATCCGCTGGTTTGAGAATCGAAAGTCGCAGCTCCTTGGTTTTTGCCTTACGATGGCGTTCTTAGGCGTATCGGTTGCAATGTATAACTATCGGTGGACAGGACTAATTGCTGGATCCGTGAACACAATCATCTGCGGCTCTGCGGTTGTGATTACATACTGTCGCAAGAAGCAATGGCATCAGCACCCGAACCCTATTGTGCACAACCGATCGGTGCTAAGCATTTTCATGGCCGTGTGTTTGCTGTTGAACGTGCTCGTGGACTTTGATCCAAGTGGCTCTAATACAGACTGTCAGCGGCTAGCAGGTATCACTGAATTTTTCTTCTTTACGGGCGAAGCGTGGGGACTTGTCATGGCTTGCGATCTCTTCTTCTCGGTATGTTCTACTCTGTGTATCGAGATGAAACAGTGTGCTGTCTTGACTTGACGCTAATCGTTTCATTCTTTCGACAGCTAACGAGTCCATTTACGAGCTATAAGCGATTGATGAAGTTTTACCATCTTTGGGTGTGGTCGGGAGGAATCATTATGGGTGTCATCACGTATTCGGTGCAGGGTGCGGGTGGTTTCTTCACCGTGGACGGTCGGTCAATGACGTACGAATCCGATACAGACACAGTGATCGGCTTTTGTCTTGCTTCGTCGCGCATTTGCTGCGATACTGGCGAAACTTGCCCCGATACTGTTACGAAATGCTCGACTACTGCGAACTTTTTGAATGCACAGCAGTGGTAAGCGGACGGTCTAGCGTCTTAGGTTTTGGAAGCCCACATTTGAGAAAGCATGGACTGACGTTTATCATTCGACAGGCCTTGGATTCTGATTTACTGCTTCGTGCTGCTGGTGTTGTTTGTATCTGTGTGGTAAGAGACTAAAGTGATTGACTGCGCGTATGAACACTAGATGGGTTATATTTAACGCAGTCTTATGTGTAACAGCGTGCTAACATTGGCTTGGCATCGATTGTACCTCCGAGGCGTACCCAAGACATACAATATCCGCCTCCGTGTGTTGAACTACATTTCTTTGTGAGAACGCCTGTGCCACATTGTAGCTTTTTGCGCGAGTATGGCAGTATCTAACAGTGTTTGCTTTTTGTAATTTCGTTGTGATTGCCAGCTTCACTGGTGCCTATGTATTCTACTGGCTGCTATTGCTGCTACTGTACATGTGTGCGTACTTCTTGTCGACAAAGAGTGACACCTCGAACTCGGAGGCTGTTGCCCAGGTGCTACGTCAGCTCGTCATCTTCCTCATTTCGTCCAAGGGCTACTTGGACTACGTGATTTGGTTCGCTGTGAACAATATTGAGCGAAAAAGCGGAAGCGGTCGTGGCGAATCTGCTGATGTGGACGTCGACTTGAGTCCGCAGGTGAACACAGCATTGCGTTCGGAGATATTGTACTACACCACATCTGGCATCAAGGAATCCGTTCGCGCGGTGACAGATGAGCTGATAACCATCCCGATCTCTGGTGAAAGCGAGGCTGCAGTAAGTGATGCGTATGCTGATTGTGGATACGTGGTAGCTATGCAAGGCTGGATAATATGCTGATTGCGTTCTCTGTTGTTGGTTCTCAGGGCAAATCCATCAAGTTTTGGTCGTTCTGTCCCGCTTCGTTTCGCAACATCCGCTTGACGTTTGGAATAAGTGATGTGGACTATATCCAAATGTTTGGTGCAACCACGAAGGAACGGTTTAGCGAAGGTCGCAGTGGTGCTTTCATGTTCTATACGTCTGATGAGAGTTTGATCGTGAAGACCATGTCACCCGAAGAGTGTGCATTCTTGCGCAAGATGGCACCGAACTATGAGGCGTATATGACGAGCAACCCCGACACACTTTTGACGCGATTCTATGGCTGTCACTCCGTCTCGTTGTATGGCAAGATGTACTACTTTGTGGTGATGGGAAACTTGTTTTCGGACACGGATGTTGTGCATCACCGGTACGATATAAAAGGGTCGTGGATCGACCGTAACGCCAAAGTGCCGAGTCCCGGTGGCAAGACCGCATGCCGGTATTGTAATGCATCGTACACGTTCGGCAGCACAAAGAACCAGGAGTGCGGCGACGGTATGAACTTTCACGAGCCCGACATCGTTCTGAAGGATAATGATTTGATGACGAAGGTACGTCGTTTACTTTGAGCTCAAGCATACGCGTGATTTTGTGATGGCTCATCTCTCTTTGTTTGTGGCTCAGATTCGGATCGACCCAGCCACCGCACACCGCATCTATGACCAAATCCACCGAGACAGTGATTTTCTGTGCTCTCAGGGCATTATGGATTACAGTCTACTCATGGGCATCCAAAGCTCCGAGTATTTCGTTGACACGAACCAGCTTCCGCAAGTTCGCCGGGACGTGCTCTTCACGCAACCGGCTACAAGTGTAGCTGGTCCGTCGCTGTACCATTTCGGTATCATTGATTTCCTGCAGCAGTGGTGCGTACGCGTCGTGACTGCGTCTGTGTGTGGCCTCTTCGGGTACTGACTTCTTACCACGTTTTATAATCTTCACAGGACATTGGAGAAGAAGATGGAGCGTTTCTACAAGACTTTCGTCAAGCGGAAAGACCCTGAAGGCGTATCTGCACTACCGCCAAAGCCGTACAAGTTCCGTTTCCAGCAAAAGATGTCGCGCATCTTTGCGCTGTCCACGCACACACGCGCCGAGCACGACATGGCATTCAACCACAACTACCCGGCGCTGATCGATGTGCTGGACCAGGGCAACTACGACGCCCAGCGGCACAACGCTGTTGCTGGCAACTCGGTGGTGGACCAACGGCCAGTGTTTAATCCCGATCAGCAGCATGAGATCCGCATGGTGTAGCCAAATTATGACACTCATAAAGTACCGGCCGGGACCGTGGACCGCATGTCTGTAGCTGGTAATACAACGGGATCCTGGTCGACTGCACGCTTATTGTGACAAGAAGAGCACGACACTTATTTTATAAAGAAAGTCGAAAGAAACTGCTTTTTTATCCAGACGGATCCGGAATCATTTCGAGCCTGGAGGGCAAGCGATTAGTGACTGTGCGCCATGTTGAGTGCCGACCTTTGAAATCGTACTTATCTGGGTGTGCGTCTGTAAATACGCGGTTAGGTGTACCCTACACGTTCTAAGTGCGATCCGGCCTGTCTCCCTCACACGCATTGGTTTATCCGAAGTCACTCGTTGGCTAGGTCACTATCATGAAGCACGCACGTGATTGGCTTAGAATTAAAATAAGATGAACATGTTCACATCGGCGAATGCTGGACGCTTGTAACTAACGGCCGATCGCGTTGCCCAAGTATACTGTACTGGTTTAATACATTCATCAATCGCATCATACAGTGACTGCTGCTGTATAGTGTGTTGTAACTTGATTCAAACCTCCGAACTGGAATACTTTTACCAAAAGACGAGCTCCAGAGCCTGCTCCCCTATCGTAGCCAATCGGATCGTCCCATATCGCACTATTAAAAACCGTCGCCTCCCCCTCCGTCGTCCCCATCAATCCTAGTGCCATAATGAAGGTATGGATCCCTTTCATACTGACTGGCGACGCTATGTGCCTGCACACACGTCGTGACTACTGGTACTTCTCCCTTTCGTAATTGCATAGACGGGTATACTGACATCTTGGTTTTTCTATCGGTGAACGCTTCAGGCTTCGTCTCCGAGCGTGAGAGCGATTTTCATCTTGGACAGCGATGGCAATCGCGTCTGTGCCAAGTACTACGATAAGCTGTACCCCACGCAGAAGGAGCAGCTAGCACTGGAGAAGAAGCTGTTCACCAAGACGAAGAACGCGAACGCGCGTCTAGAAGGTGCGCGCGCTGCTTGAAGCAGTTGATGATCGAGATGAGTGAACGGACGTTGTTCCGTGTTAAGTGGTGGTGGGGGTTTCTGAGCTGACTGAGTGCACGTTGTAGCTGACATTATCCTCATTGAAAACGTCGTGAGCGTGTACCGCTGTGGCTCCGACACGACGATGCACGTGATTGGATCTGCTTTGGAAGTAAGCAATGCAAAAAGACGCATGTACTTGCTAGTAGGTGGTACAATGTTTGAAAGCTTACGGAGTGTGGGTGTGGCCGTGACTGGCTGTTTGGTTGGAATAGAACGAGCTCATCCTTTTGACAGTGCTGGATGCAGCCTTCGACACGGCCAGCAACTTGCTCAAGTACGTGCTGGTTGCTGGGATTTGTTGTTTGATAGGTCACGTTCCTGCTTGTGTGGGTTTGACGGTTGCCGGTATTTGCTGCTATCTACCACATAGGGGGAGGATGGATCGTCATGTGATGCTAGACAACATCGAGCTAGTGTTACTCACGTTTGACGAGGTTGTTGATGGGGGGTAAGGTCGACGCTGTGTTTGGCCATTTATCTGGTTGATTAGGAAAGCTAAGGTTGTAACTGTTTCTTTGATAACAGGATCATCCTAGAGGTCGACACGCCGTCAATCGCGAACCGCGTGCTTATGCGCGTAAGAGCTTTTGTTCTCATGCCGTCTCTTGACTTGTTGCGGCTGCGTTCGACTGACGAGGAGCTATTTTGATTATGCTATTGGTTGGATGTGTTGTTTCTTCGATGGACAGGGCATCGACAACGAAGTCCCTGTGGCAGAACTCACCATTTCGCAGGTCAGTCAGTGCGAAGAGCGAGCAGAGGCTACAGCAGCTCCTTTTGCTTACATTGCGGCACGTGTTTTTTTGTGCACAATGTAGGCGTTTGCATCGGCCCGCGAGCAGTTTTCGCGCTCGTTCCGCAGCTAAATAGCGCATAAAAGGTTGCCTTATTTTCAAACACGACCACTTCAAACGTTTGTGCTCCTTGTACATACATGGCTGGCATTTTCATACCTCGACACGGAACCTTGACCATCGCGGGCTCCATCTAGCGGGAGTACAAGGCGACTGCCGTCTGCTAGCAATCCCAAGAGAGATTGAAGACAAATGCAGCGGTGTTACCCACAGGAACGCAGTCGAGCGGTGCTTCGCTGGGTGGCCCACGTCCGCACTTGTTACAGCGACTGATACGATGCTACGATCGATCAAGCCGCTGTGCGCCATCTGTGTTTCCTTCTTGGCAAACTGGACGAGTCAAGGGACAATCTCCAAGTCACATCAAGACTGTCTCAATCTCCACCGTCCAGCCCATGCATGCTGAGAGGTAGCCAGAATGAAAACTAATGTCTGGGATCCGCTGATTGTCAGTGCACCCCAAATCCATTTGCCATGTATGATGGTGCAGATATCGTCTGATGGAACCAATGGGGTGAAATATACTCTGCCAAAGATGCAGCTCACCCATGGGTCCTCAAGTCGGGGTTCAACCTGTGTCAAACACCGGGTGCGGTTATCTGCACGATCCCGTTCCATACACTCGATACCCCGGTCGTCTCAAATTCTTCATCAAGCCTCATTTCTAGATGAATGGCACCACCAAAATGGTGTCTCAGCACAAGCGCGAGTGATACGATGGTCTGAGCTCTTTTAATAGCTTGCTGATCTGGAACGCCCTCGTGAATGTACCGCTTGTTCAGGCATAACGAGCAAAGCGAAGTGATCCGTTCGGCACAGCCTCGACCCGCTGTTGGCTGGTCGTAAAACATCCACTATCATCACCAGTCCCGGGCCCAGTCGTATTCAGCTGCCGCAATGTAGTTGCCAACACCTTTTCTCGTCTGAGTGTGGTTGGCCTTATTTGAGAACGCAGCCAAGCTTAACATTGGCTGTAGCATGCTCTTGATGTGACTGCTTACGAGTGTGTGCACATACATGGGTACAGTGGAATATGTCTTAGCAGCCAAGGCTGGAACGACGCCCCACTAGTGATTTGATCGTATTCGCTCGAGACAACATATCTCGTCAGCTTGTGTGTTAAGGCAATGGAATCTGTACATGTGAGCGAAAATGTGTGACTGGTCCTATCTGCAGGAAGGCGTAAGTGGAATTACGGATACGCGACACCCATCACATCATTAAAGCGCTGATTGCAATAAGTTGTTCACGCTTGTACAACCAAAGCACCGACTACAAACTACTCTGCGCACGCAGACATGATCATTGACTGACGTATCAAATCAAATACGTCACCATGCTGGCAGACCTCAAACGAAGTGATCTCCTTGCCTGCCAACAATCCGATGCTTAAGTCACTTCCTCTCTTCAAGTTGCCAAATGCTCACGGACCTATTCATATAATGCTGCGAGCAGTTCATTTGAGCGCTCCTTTTGATCACAAACCGTTTTTATACATGTGAGACGATCTTGCCGTGTCTGCAAGTCTCTTCTTCAAGCTGAAGAGCAATCACATCGTTGTCACCAAACACGTTTCCCTGTTCTCGATACATGTCCACGTAAAATAGAAACTGCTTGAGCATCTGTAACGGGGTTACACGCGGTATTGAACCGGTTATGCTGTGTGTCCACACCAAGTAAAGATCGGCAAATCTGATTAGTACAGTCTTGCTACCACGTACTTACGGTATTACCGCACCTTATTGGTTAGGGATAAGGGATAAGACTTCCGTCATAGGATCGTAATGGAGAAGGCAGCCAGGCAAGGTTTTAGGATTTCATTACCGTAGTTAAAGAATAAATAAAGTTCTGGTTCTCTTTTAATCGTTGGACGCTAGTGACTAGTCAAGGCATAGCGTGTTGTAGGAGCAGTAGCCTTGTCAAGGCGTTTACTCTTGTTTAACTAGTAGTTTCTAGTTAGTGTGTGATTCTGTGAATCGAAATCCCTTTGGAACCGGGATTGAAAAGCTTGTACGCTTGAACGACTGTACGTCGTCGTTCGTTTGATATAACTAAGAGACTCTATGAGTCAAAGACTTCCTCTGTTAGGAGCATAAAGTAGCTCTGCTACACTTGGTAGCACTTGTAGTCAGTCCAAACCCAAGTCTTCACAGACTGAATCATCTGCGAGGATGGAAACGGCCATAAACCTTTCTAAGGCCGAACAGATCACGCTTGAGTAGCTCCAGGCGTTGATCGGGCACGAGCAAGTGGCCTTTATAGTGCCGCAAGGACCGGACGCACTTCGTGCACGTCTCGAGGCCTATTCGAACTTTGAGTCTACGTTGATCGGACAGGTCCCATGTCCATTTGGCACCTGCCATGCCCACTCGGTATGTTCCGATACCGGACACTGAGTCAAAAACTCGTCCTCTAGTCTTAAATGTCAAGAATCTCGAGGGGAAAGAGGGGATTAGTTTTCTTTCGTGAGTTCGAAAGATGGAGGTTGCCATCAATTCGGCCCTGCTGCGGTCAGAGCAGTGAGAGTTGGTCCTGGCCCTATCAAAATTAGGTGGCCAAGCCTGGGAGTGGGCCTTCACTTCCAGCACCTCAATCGACGAGGCTTTACCACCTGGGATATACTAAAACAGCAACTATCTCGGGTGTTTGCCCCGCCAGATCAGGCACATAGCGTGCGATCACGCTTCCTGTCAACCCGCCATGGTAAAAAGGACGTAGTCGATTATGTCCAGGAGTTGCGAGCTCTAATTGCTGCTACGCAATTTGATCCTTTACCTGAGACGGTTTTGGTTATCATTTTGATGAATTTTTTTTAGCACTGGTCTTTTTTCAGAACAGAAGTGTTTCGTACACAACCCTTGGCATTTTAAGAGTGCAGTGGATTAAGCGTTGAACGCAGAGTTCAACTTTAAAGATGCCCATTAAGGGACTCATGGGTTCCAATCGAACTCGTCGATCAATACTCATCTCATGGATAGGCAGAGCCCATGGACCTTAGTCTCGCATAGAGAGAAGAAAAAGCTGAGCTTGACGCTGTTGTGGTGTAGTGAGATTTGCTCATTTACGTAGCAATCCTGACTCACCACTTGCGCCCGGACGACCGACTAACGGAGGGGGTACTCCGGACCGTGCGTCTTGTCTTGTCTTGCTCATTCTCACCTTGTGTACCGTCGGCGGGCGTTTGCACTCTTCTAGGTGTCTTGAGGTCGATGTCTTGTCTTGACCGAGTTGAGGATAGGTGGGGTGTGGTCGTGTGGCAATTCTTCACACGACCAACGGTTACTGGTGGCACTCTCCTAGAGTTGCCTGACCTTCCTTGAGGTCGCATTGCCCAAATGTGGATACTTGATCCCCCTTGTTCTTCTGACCACTTGATAACCTTGTCCTTCTGATCACTTGAGCCGTTTGAAGACCTTGCCTTGTATGCTTGCCGCGTCCGATCGCGGGCTAACTTGAATGAGTATACTTGTCCCTAGCCAAGCAATCTAGGGACAAACCGTGAGCAAACACGTAGACAGTAAACCTTGTACGTCGGGTGGTCACTAGTATTCCAGCCCGGAGGAATGCTGACGCGTGTCTTTTGTAGGAAAATCAATACTGTTCGTTATTAAACTATTAGGGTCTAGAACTACGTTTGCACTTCTCTTTTTCTCAGTTTTCTGCTACGTTGTTCGCCTGCCACTACCCCATTCCCTGTGCTTTAAGTGGACCACCTTAACTGCCAACATGACCGCTGGTCATCTTGCAGTGACCATGACATCTGGTCACCCATCGTGACCGTGACTACTGGTCACCCATCGTGACCATGACCACTGGTCACCCATCGTGACCGTGACCACAGGTCATCAATCGTGACCATGACCACTGGTCACCCATCGTGACCATGACTACTGGTCACCCATCATGACCGTGACCAATGGTCACCCATCGTGACCATGACTACTGGGTACCCATCGTGACCGTGACTACTGGTCACCCATCATGGCCATGACCACTGGTCACCCATCGTGACTATGACCACTGCTCACCCATAGTGACCATGACCGGTCAGCCATTCGTCGTGACCCCAACCGGTGGTCATAATCTGTGACCGCCACTGATGACTTGCAAACTGTCCAGCTTATCGTTTTGGATTTCTGTAGCGGTCAGTCCCAAGGCCGGCATGACCGGTCCCACATGCACTTACGAGGTGATCAAGGCGGTTGGTCATAATTTCCTTTGACCACTTCACCACACTGTCGAACATCGTTCGAAAGTCCGTAAATGTTAGCGTGCGGGAGCACTTAATACCTTCACCCCGATCGTCCTTCGAGAAGGGCCGGACAGGCTTATTCAAACAATCCTCCCGTCGCTAACCAATCAGTAGGTAGAGCGCGGGAAAACGTCAAGTCCCAGTAGGCGCGGGGCGCCCTGCTACTAATGCTCTGTTGTTCCTGTGGGAGGTGATGGAGAATAGGAACTATCTCTAAGTGAGTTTGTGCACAATGTCACGAAGCATGCGTACAAGCAAGATTGTTAGTTACGAATGAAACAGTAAAGGGCGTTGATAAGCCATGGTCGATATTGATAGACTCCGGGGCGTCGGGAAAATACGTCCGACGTTGCTCCCTGGAAGGTATTCAACAGTATGATGAGGCGATAAAAGCGCGAAAGAATGAGACTATCACTTTTCGCATGGGGACAGGTGTCACTATGCCTAAAGTTCCGTTGAACTGAGGCGTGAAGTGTTCGGACTTTGACAGTATCGAGCGCTGTCTACTCCTTGACTTGGATGAGAGGTATAAACTCATGCTTGGTATGGCTTGGCCAGAAAGCCATGGATTTATTGGAGGTCAAAGACCTTAGGCGAAACGCGCACTGTTCCTAGCGGATCTTTGTAGAGTCATGAGCCTACCTCTGCTAGAAAGCAAGAACGCCATCGGCGCGAGCCACGTACTGATACAGACAGTGCGATGGACATCATACAGCTGTATTCGTTAAGCTGGACGTTGTCAAAAACATTGTTACGAGCC